GAGCTTTGACTCCGAGCCTCCACGGGGTCCGAGCCTCAGCTTCGAGCTCCGGTCCTGCCGTGGGCTCTGAGCCTCCGGTCTGGTCCCGGTCTGGTCCTGGTCTTGTCTCGATCTCGGTCTCAGGCCCGCTCTGGTCCCGGTCTGGTCCCAGTCTCACCGCATACGGACTGAATCAGGACGGATCCAGGTCCGAGACCAGACCGAGCTGCTCTGGTCCTCCGCGATCAAGAACCGCGGTTGATTCCGAGGTGGTGCAGAGCCTCTGACTGACGCTTTCACCCCAACGAAAACGAACCGAACTAAGAGCTTTTGGTTCAGATGGACCAGGTCCGGGACCAGACCGGGACCAGAGCGCTACTGAGACTCAGTCCCGGTCTCGGTCCCGCTCTGGTCCCGGTTTCAGTCCCGCTCTGGTCCCGGTCTGGTCCCGGTCTCAGTCCCGCTCTGAGTTTTTCCATTCTTCATTTAAACACAAAATCGAAAACAGAAAAAACGAATCGTTATCCGTTTTTCATTTTGGTTTTGGAGACAAATAACGAAGAAAACTGTTGTTTTTTCGTTTTCTTATTTTTGGTTTTATATTGAAAAACGAATGAACGAATGATACACGGATTGGAAAGCTCCTTGGTGGCAAGGCTCCGGGGTTGGATGAGATCCGTCCTGAGTACCTTAAGTCTCTGGATGTTGTGGGGCTGTCTTGGCTGACACGCCTCTTCAACATCGCGTGGCGGTCAGGAACAGTACCTCTGGACTGGCAAACCGGGGTGGTGGTCCCTCTGTATAAGAAGGAGGACCGGAGGGTGTGCTCCAACTATAGGGGGATCACACTCCTCAGCCTTCCCGGTAAGGTCTATGCCAGGGTACTGGAGAGGAGAATCCGGCCGATAGTCGAACCTCAGATCCAGGAAGAGCAGTGTGGTTTTCGTCCTGGCCGTGGAACACTGGACCAGCTCTACACTCTCCATCGGTGCTCGAGGGTTCATGGGAGTTTGCCCAACCAGTCCACATGTGCTTTGTGGACTTGGAGAAGGCATTCGACCGTGTCCCTCGTGGTGTCCTGTGGGGGGTGCTCTGGGAGTATGGGGTCCGGGGCCCTTTGCTAAGGGCTGTCCGATCCCTGTATGACCGGAGCAGGAGCTGTGTTCGCATTGCCGGCAGTAAGTCAGACCTGTTCCCGGTGCATGTTGGACTCCGCCAGGGCTCCCCTTTGTCACCGGTTCTGTTCATTGTGTTTATGGACAGAATTTCTAGGCGCAGTCAGGGGCCGGAGGGGGTCCGGTTTGGGGACCACAGGATTTCATCTCTGCTGTTTGCGGATGATGTTGTCTTGTTGGCTTCATCGAACCAGGACCTGCAATGTGCACTGGGGCGGTTTGCAGCTGAGTGTGAAGCGGCTGGGATGAAGATCAGCTCTTCTAAGTCTGAGGCCATGGTTCTCGACCGGAAAAAGGTGGCTTGCCCTCTCCGGGTGGGTGGGGAGTCTTTGCCTCAAGTGGAGGAGTTCAAGTATCTCGGGGTCTTGTTCACGAGTGAGGGAAGGACGGAACGTGAGATTGACAGGCGGATCGGTGCAGCTTCGGCAGTGATGCGGTCGCTGTATCGGACCATTGTGGTGAAGAGAGAGCTGAGCCGAAAGGCGAAGCTCTCGATTTACCGGTCAGTCTTCGTTCCTACTCTCACCTATGGTCATGAGCTCTGGGTAGTGACCGAAAAGACGAGATCGCGGATACAAGCGCTTGAAATGGGTTTCCTCTGCAGGGTGGCTGGGCGCTCCCTTAGAGATAGGGTGAGGAGCTCAGTCACACGGGAGGAGCTCGGAGTAGAGCCGCTGCTCCTCCACGTCGAGAGGAGCCAGTTGAGGTGGCTCGGGCATCTGTTCCGGATGTCTCCTGGGCGCCTCCCTCAAGAGGTGTTCTGGGCATGTCCCACCGGGAGGAGGCCCCGGGGAAGACCCAGGACACGCTGGAGGGACTATGTCTCTCGGCTGGCCTGGGAACGCCTCGGGGTCCCCCCGGAGGAGCTGGAGGATGTGTCTGGGGTGAAGGAAGTCTGGGAGTCCCTGCTTAGGCTGCTGCCCCTGCGACCCGGCCCCGGATAAGCGGACGAAAATGGATGGATGGATGGATATTGGCAATATTATAAAGATAACTGCAGATTTATGACTGCCTTAGGTTGAATCCTGAGCTCTAAACTTCATCGACTGTGTTTGGGTTTTCATAAGATTCATAATTTGGTAATATCATATTGTATTACATTTTACAATATTAGATGACATGGAGAAAAATCCCACACACCGTCTTGCTTGCAAATTGTGAGATTTATTCGGACAAATTGTGCAACGTTTTGGCACTAGGCTTTGGTCAGGCAAACAGGTGTTGGCCTAGTGCTGAAACGTTGCACGATTTGTCCGAATAAATCTCACAATTTGCAAGTAAGATGGTGTGCAGGATTTTTCTCCATGTTCTTGAGCTGCTCCCTCTCCTCCAACGCACCCATCTCAAGTAATTGATGTGCGAAGTTCTCTCTACAATATTAGATGACACTATGAACCATCCACAATATTGCAGTAGTATCACACATTGAGGTTAATAAACAAAATACCATTCATTTTCACCTTCTCGTTTCTTGTTGTTGAAAAGGCGGTGAAGTCGAGCACTGGCCCTGGGGAGAACCTGAGGAACGCTCTGTGGCACACGGGAGACACCTCAGACCAGGTCAAACTGCTATGGAAAGACGCTCGCAACGTGGGCTGGAAGGACAAGACCTCATACAAGTGGTTCCTCCAGCACCGACCGGCCGACGGATACATCAGGTGTTCACTTACACATCACTCACTATCAATAAAATCATTCATGGTCGCACTTAGATGTATCAGATTGTAAGTGTTGGCTAATCCTACTGTAGGTGTAGCTGGTTAAATATTTGTCTATAAACTCTTAACATTGTGCCGTCTGTGTGGTTTGCTCACCTCTGTTGTGTATTGTTTCTGTGCTGCTGTGCCCAGGGTGCGTTTCTATGAGGGCACTCAGATGGTGGCAGACACTGGGGTCATTATCGATGCCACGATGAGAGGAGGCCGACTCGGAGTCTTCTGCTTCTCTCAGGAAAACATCATCTGGGCCAACCTCCGGTACCGCTGCAATGGTGAGTACACACAGACACACACACTCACACACACAACACAATATGTAAAAAAACTATTATTATTCTTAAAACTAGGGGAAAAATATTGGAGTATGCCTGAGTTGGAACTGTGACATCAATAGAAATATTCTCCCACTCAACTGTAGTTTGGTAGTTCCATTCCTGCTACTGGCATTGCACACTGTTGTTGTGCTATTGTTCAAAACTGAAAAGTAACAAAAAAGTTGGTGGCAGTTCATTCTCTCATTTTGTCCTTGAGCAAGGCACTCACAACGCCAGAGTAAATGTGATGTGTCTTTGATGGTTATCTGAGATGCTCTTGGCACAGATTGGCAGGCAGTTGTCTGTGATGATTTTTTTTTGGTCAGAATTGCAGCCACATCTCTGCCAATTTGCCCCAGGGCAGCTGTGAGACTAACTTTAGCTTTTTAATGTAGAAAAGTTTGTTACTTAAATATAAATGAGCTTTAATGAACACACGCACAGTTCCTAATGAATAAATACAATGATCTTAAAGTGAGTGGTTTTGCTCGTGAATCCATTTTATAAGAAAAGTGTGTCAATGTTTCGTTAAAATAATCACTAAATATTGTGCTGCAGATACTGAGGCACCTGAAATCTGTGTCTGAGTGTTTTCCCGTTTGTTTGCAGACACTCTCCCTCTGGACTTTGACACGTACAGAGCACAGCAGGTGAGGCTCGCCGTCTGAGACCTGCGACCTGCTCTGATGTGAACAGGGCTGTGGAGGAGACAAGGGTCCAAACGTAATGTCTTAAAATGTAATAATATGTGTGCTGAGAAAAGATTTGAATCAATATATGTCTTATTTGTACAATACGTTATAAGTTGTGTATAAGCTGTTTCTATGTTAAATGCTCTGAACAACAATGTATTTTGTAGAAATTGTTACGTGAATAAATGTGAATTTTGATAAAACATGTTGAAATCCTTATTAACCAGTTTTGTTTTGTTTCAGTCACATGTCATGTTTGAGTAAAACTTTATTATTAGACTGTCGACATCTTCAAAGCTCAAAATGCTCTGTTCCACCCGTAGACCTGTATAAAAGAAGTGGACTAAGCGAGTGTGACGTCACCCATAGCGTTCAGCTCAAATGAGGCTCGAGATGCTCAAAGTTACAGGAGCAAATCTGGAGCCAGACTCTACGTTGAATAGGATTGTTTTAATGGACAAAAAATAATAATTCAGGATCATGTGTTGTAATGGTTAATATGAACATTTTAAGACCAAAATGACGAGACTCACTGCAGCAGTTACAGACAGAGGGACCATAATATTCCAATGTAAGTCAATTGGAGCCAGAGTCAGAAGGAGCCAGAAGAGCCTCCTGCCGAACTTCCTATTTGGCATGTGGCGGCTAGCAAATTAGCTATGTCCATTTATAATAAGGATTTACAGTCTATGGTTCCACCTTGTGATGTCATCAAGCGGTAGTTTTCATGTTAACAGCGACCTGATTCATTTCACCTGATACATTTTGTTCAGTAGAGATTTGCAATTCTAAAGCTAAACTTAACAAAATGATTCCAGTGAAAGAGTACGGAGTTTTAAAATCCAGTGGAGAACTTCCTGTATTAACACATGACATCACAAGGTGGAACAGTTGTTTTCTGTTTGAGAGAAGAACTCAGCCTAAATATGCAGGGTTTGTATGTTAATGTGTGAATGAAACAAAACACAACTCCAGGTCTGTTTGTGATGAGGAAACATTATAACATACACAGCTGATCCGAAAGTAGCGTAAATAGAGTAAATGTATCTGAGTTCAACCCCTCTTTTAGCAGATTATGTAATAAAAATGTGTAATGTAATATAAAATCAAACAGGATTCTGGTTTTAACTCAACAGCTTTTAGTGGAAATCAACATTCTGAACATTTCACAGGCATGCACATATCCAAAATAATCTTTTCAATTTGCATTTGGAAATACAGGTTACAAAATAGAAACGATAGCAAAGACAATATACAACGGGGTTTCCAACGTCATGCATTTCCACGGCAACAGGCTGCGGTTACGGTCGTCAAGGGACACCAGACAGTTTTTAATCAGCAGCGCCTTTCACCACGGTAGGGGAAAAAAAACAAAACAAAAACAGTCTTTAACATTCAATTTTATCGTCATTTTCTTTTAAACGAATGGTCACGGGAGGAGGTTACCATGGCAACAAAGAAATACCTACAGATTTTACTACGAGTTACGCGACAACAGTGATATAATGCTATTCTCACTACAAGCTTCAAGTGGAACGTAAACTTAAGCTTTTCTATATTGTTTTCATGGGTGGATGAGTCATTTAAAAAACCCTGTTATTAAAGGGATGTTATCTGCAAACCCAAAAACACTTGTAAAGCTTAAAACTGCAGGAGTAGACTGGACTAGCACTACACATGTTACTGCCTGGCACAGTAAAGCAGCACTGTGGAACTTTTTTCTTTTTTTTTTTCAAAGACTAATTGAGGGAGCTCTTATTAGTAATGTGATTAAGAAGAAAAATATTACCACAAAAACAAAGAAATAATGTTAATTGTATTATAGTTTTGGTAATTTTGATGAAAAAAAAAAAATGGAATAAGGAATACATTCTTTTTTAAGGTTGATTATGTAACTTTTCTGGTAGAGCATCTGCCATTAGCTTGATATTACTTTGTCTGGAATGTCCCACAATATGGCATTCAACTCGTCTATTGCCGTGGAAACAAGCAGATAACGCCATTAGGTCATGTTCCTGGTCAGATCTGTGAACACGTGATCCCATCTTAAATTTTTGCACAATAAAAACACCTGTAATTCAATAAATGCAAGGCAGATGCATTTAAAGCCATACTGCGGAACATTCCAGGCAAAGCAGTGGCATCTCCATGGAGACAAGTAGGTGGCAGATCAAACCTTTCACCAGAAAAGTTACACATTGCGCCTTTAAATCAATAAAGACTGAAAATGAATCGAGAGCAGTCCACTGACGAGTGCGCTGACGGGGTTAAAAAGTTCCACAGTGCCGCTTTAAACGTCGTAAAAGTTGCTAAGTAAAACTAAACCTTGGCTCTTTGACTACAAGTCTCTCACCACTGAGTAAAGTCACTGCAGCATTTTAAACACGACGAAACGCGCTTCAGTCTCAACAAGACGAGAGTAAGTGATCTGAAAATAGTCGTACGCCTTTAACTTCACTTCCAGACATTTTAATTAGCTGCCATAATTCAACCGTAGTAGTATATGACAAACTACTCCAACCTTCACCCGCATGATACAGATCTTATTTCATGGCAGTATGGAGACACGCCTAAATACAATAAGGCCAATCAAGCGTCGCTGATTTAACAAAAGGAAAAACAAAACGTAAAAAAAAAAAAGAAATACATTAGCAGCATTCTTCTTGCGCTGCACTGGAGTAAGCCCTTTCTGCTGTATGTTTTGCATCCCCGAAAAGGTTAATGATAGATAGTACGCTCTGGAGGGATGGTCTGCTGTGATTGGTCAAGTTTATGAACAAGATTATACTTATTTATGGGTAGGGTTGAGTAATATTTGGCAAAGTAACGGTGTGTAAGTTTCTGGAAGTGGCCTGTCGACTGTATGATTCCATGGAAATAGAAAGTTACACCTCTACTTCAGAACATTTTCAGCCAAAGCAACACGCTATGACCATGGAAAAAAGCAGGACAAGGCTCTTCCAAACCAAATAAGAGTTAAGTTTGAGGAGATGCAAGCCTGCTTTTCTGTGTTTTTCAATGAAATAAAAACATAAAACATGAAAAAATAAAATGATTTTTTGTACTCTCTTGACTTTTTTTCTTGACTGAAAAGTTACATGGTGGAGCTTGAAGGTTAGGGTTTAAGGACAAGATTATGGTTAAAGGTTCGGGAAAATCATTGGGGTTAGTTAGCACCAGTAACTTAAAAACTTAATTTGTTGTCTAGTAGTCTCTTATCTCAAAACAATCTCCCAAAACAAATGTAACAGAAAACAAAACAGAAGCTTAACCAGAGCTACAACATCCCTTCCGTCCCTCCAGACCTGACTATCAGCCGCTAACCTTCCAAAAGTATCGTAAAAAAACACGAGACAAGCCTAAATATAACTTCAAAAAATAGCGTCTTTCATACAGAATCTCTTCAGAGGGTTAATCTGGTGTTGAACAGTCAGCGTTCACATGGGCCAGAGCCATAGACTGTATAAAGAAGAGGAAATCACACATAGCGTTCAGCTCCAGTCAAATGAAGCTCATCGAGGGTTGCTAGGGAGCTAGTTCGATATTAGGAATAGGATTTTTTTTATGGACAAAATAACGAAATAAACAAACATTTTAAGACCAAAATGACCAGGCTCACTGCAGCAGTTAAAGAGAGAGGTGACAGTTTTTCAATACGAAGTCAACTGGAGCCAGAGTCAATGGAGCCAGAAGTGTCCATTTATATATACAGTCTATGCTCAGAACCGGACAAATAAAGTGCAAAGCGACTATACGAAGAACTACACAGCGCGATATGAGTGAGATAAGAGGGCACTGGCCCTGTCCCGAGAAGCAGAGTTAGGGTTAGACCTGCTTTAAATAAGTAAGTAAGAAAGTAAGTAAAGTCGCAATCAGTTACTAGAACGCTTTGATGAAAAGTTTGTGAAATTGTGTGAATTGTTTGTTCGGGATGTTAAGTAACTAGGTCCAATATTATGCAAAATTGACTCTTGTGAGCTTCTAGTCATGTTATAATATTGTTATTTCCTCAAAAAGATACTCGAAGTTGTGTTTTGTTTCATTCACACAAATTTGAGTAACCCTTTATTATCAGTTTATCATCTCCAAAGCTTAAAATTTACCTTTAGATCAATAGAGATTTCAGGTGTAAAATTATCCAAATGACTCTAATGAAGGTGTAATAAAACAAAACACAACTCGAAGCATGTTAACATTATAACATAACATCGCAAAATAGCACAATATCGGCCCTTTAAGTGTCAGATTGTAGATTTGTTGACCTGTTAATATCTCTGTGATTACTGGGCCTATATAGGTATCTGCTTCCATCTGAAATTATGACATCAAATCTCTGCTTGCGTCGTGAAACAGGGCCACACAAAATGGACCTAACAAAAACACACCGGTATATTAGCAAAGATGCAGTGTTCTATGTAAGCTGTGGAGTCATGCCGCTATAATCTACACGAGCAGAATACAGAGCTCAGTTTCCGTCATCAGATTCTGTTTAGTATTATTTAAAAGTGCTGTTAAAACGGAGGAGGGAGAGATGCTACAGTGAGATACAGGGGCAGTTTAAAGTGGGACAGTCTGGACTCACACGGGGCTCCAAACGAGGACGGCGCCCCAGAGAAATACATTCATTTATCGGAGGAGAAAAACAGAGGAGCAGCCAAACATGCGTGACATGAGAAGGATATGATACAGAAAACTAAAGCACGCTACGAGAAATGGTCTTCTAATCCCAGGTTTCTAAGTATTTTAAAGACTTTAAAGATGGAATACGGAACTTTTCTGGTGCCGTAGTTTATTGCTTAGCCTAGAATGTTCCACGGTATGGCTTGAACTTGTATGTATCTGTAAACACCACGCCGAGTCACATGTAAGATCTGATCTCACTCACGTTAATAATGTAAATATTTGGAGCTACTTTATTAACAACAACAATAGCTGTAATGATACTGTGGAACATTTAAGGCAAAGCAATAACGTCACCATGGAGACAAGCACCAGAACTGTTACGTACTGCATCTGTAAAGTCATGCATGTGTGTCAGCTATAGGCTATGTACAAGATAAGCAGGAGTTTAAAGAAGACATATTACGCTTTGTTTCTCATTTTAGTAATCGATTATTACCAAATTTTTCATATTTTTTTCATTGTTAATGCCAATATTTATCTAATAGCTCGACTGACTCCTGTTTAAATCTCCCACTTCTTCATAGTGGTATTTTAGAGAAGCAAGCACTGGGTTTTTGGAAATTGGCTAAGCAACCAAGTCCAGGGTAGTGGGAGGAGATAGGAGGCAGGTGATAACACGTATTTTCCGAGCGCTCAAGCCTCAAATGCAGGATTATACTGGATTACTCGAACATGCACGGATCAAAATGCAACTCTGTGTAAAATAATCCCTAAAGAAAACCATTATAACATCTCTTAAAAGTTAAATTTTGCATAATATGTCAGCTTTAAAGACAGAATAGTGCCCACTGTTAGCAGGGGAGGGTGTAAATTTAACATAAGGATTTGAGGAAATTCAAACCTATGGAAACACTTTATACTTCTTCTACGTATCTGCGCGATGTGTCCGTACCAGAGATTTAAAGATGCACTGCGTAACATTTCTAGATGAGGATCCACCACCCGCTTCTCTCCATGGAGATGTCACTGCTTTGTCTAGAATGTTCCACAGTATTTAAACCTATCTATCACGAGGGAGACACGCAGGTTACAGCACTATGCTACATTACAGTTCAGATCTGTGGAGAGTCACCCCTATTCACTGAAGGAATTCATGTATTTTTCAGCAATAGAAACACATGTAATGAATAAATGCGAAATGGATGTGTTTAATGTGATACTATGGAACATTCCAGGCAAACCAATAATATCTCCACGGAGACAAGTAAATAGCGGACAGAAAAGTCACGCAGTGTGCCTTTAAAGGAAAAGTCCAACCTCAAAATGAGGAAAACGTAACAATGGACAGATTCAATTTAAAGGGATGATTTAGTACTTTGTAAAGAGGTGTTTTGAAAATGTTTCTATTTTGAATCAGTTAAAATCAATCATAATTAATTAAAATCGTAATTTGTACATCCAGCATTACTCATAAACTCGTTGGTTAAAGACCATAGACTGTATAAAGAAGTGGGCTGAGACAGTGTGATGTCACTAATAGCATTCAGCTCCAGTCAAATGAAGCTCATCGAGGCTGCAAGTTATAGGAGCAAATTTGTAGCCAATTCCATATTAGGTATAGGAGATTTATTTGAGGATAAAATTGCAAAACATTTTAAGCCCAAGAGAGAGAGTTTTTCAATGTAAAGTCAATTGAAGCCAGAGTCGATGGAACCAGAAGTGCCCCCATGCTCACTTCTTATTTGGAACATGGCAGCTAGAGGGTTATCTATGTCCATTTATATATACAGTCTATGGATTAGATTTAAGTGGCCATTTCACATTCAGACCACCTTATTTTCAGCTTTCTTAATACCAAAGTTTAGGTCAGGTAAAAGTGGGGACGCAATCAGTTCTAAAACAGGACTAAACCATGTCGAATACAGTTCTATAAAAACGTTAAAGGTACAGTATGTAACTTTCCTAGTGGTAGATCTGCCAACTGCTTGTTTCCATGGAGATATCTTTGTGCAAATCTACAAGGCCAAGATACAACTCAAATCTGCGGAGAAAATGAGAATGCATATTTTTAAGGCATTTTTGAGCAATAAAAAATACCTGTCATTCATTTAACGTAAGATAGATAGGTTTAATGCTATACTGAGGAACATTCCAGGCAAAGCAGTAAAATCTCCATGGACACAATCAGGTGGAAAGTTGCGTAGTGCACCTTTAAGCAGTGTTAACACAAATATTAAAAACAATTGTAAGTTGAACATAGCAAAAACTGAAGTGTGCTATTGGAGATACACTGGATCAGTAAACTCAAATATCTACTCTCAACTCCTTAAAAGTAAAAAAAATGTGTTCTTGGGGTTATGCAATTGTAGTTTTAGCCAAAAACTATAACATTGCAATATTTTAATTAACATAGAAATTTCCTTTTGTTATCATAAGAGTGGAAAAATCCATATAAGGACGTAGAGCAGAGTTGAAGTACTTGAAGTAATTGGCAAGTTTTCGAAACCTCATTAAATGGCTAAATGATCCCTTTAAGGTCAGATTTAGTAGTGGGCGAAAAACCGAGGTAGAAAAACTGACAAATGTTTGTGTAATTTCAAAGTAAAGCTGGATTCATGTGTCTTAAAGGGCCAGTACCTGATTTTTTTTTTTTTTATTCGCGCAAAATCAGTCATAAGCAACTCTTGGTGTAAATAAGTCCGTAAGTCTGTGGACTATCTGCCCCTAATGATAAAGTTTTATTGAATTAGGAAGTGTGCAGTTAGCATGCTAGTTGTCATCATGGTGAATAATTACGACGTACAGAATGCATAAAGAAAGTGAGAAATAACTTTGGACTACTGCAAACGGTTAAACATGAACTAGCGCTGTTTTCAGGTACAGATCCTTTAAAACTAAAAAGCCAGTTTTTTTTTTTTTTTTACCGTATGTCTCTCCTTTCTATCTTTCTTTCTTCCTTGTTGATTGTCAAAGCACCACTGCAGCAAAAATAGTCTGACTGTACTGTACAACACCGAGGACTCCGCTCAGCTCATTCACAAACCTGCAAATAAGATCAGACGGTAAACTGGACAATACGGATTACATATTGTAGTTTTGTCAACAGTTCTTGCAATTTCTCACAATTATAAAGCTGCACTGTGTAACTTTTCTGCCACCTGCTTTTATCCATGGAGATGTGAATATTTTGTCTGGAATGTCCCGGTCTTGCATCTACACAATAATGTTTTTGTATTGACCTAAAAACTTGCACTCTTACTGTGAGTGGGCTCGCCTCTCCACAGATCTGACATTGAACTTCCGTAGAGATAATTAAATGTAATGCCATACTGTGGGACATTCCAGGCAATACAGTAAATCCATTGAGAAGAAGGTGAAGGAAGTTACACAGTGCATCTTTAAGTGTAATGCATTTCTACACAAAATATAATAAATAACATTGAAACGATCCCAGTAAACACTTGAAAAATAATAAAGAAAATAAAAAATAAACAGGAACAGCAATACAGTCTGTTATTAAACTGACTTCAACTCAAAAGTTACCATAGTGCGAAAATATATGAAGTTACGGACTGGTGGAAATGACAAGAACTAGTGAGTCCAACAGGTGTGTTAATCTCATATACTGGACGATTATTGTGACAGGTTTAGCTCATATTAAAAATAAAACTGAATGTGCAAAATGATAACATGAAGCCAGAAAGTGCAGAAATAAAGAATAATGCACAATATAAAATAACTTAGCAAGAAGTCTGTAAGAAAATATTAAAAACAAAAATATCCAGTACAACCACGTGAAATGTGTTTTTTTTTTCTTCTCAAACGGGCACTATATATACGTTTTCTGGGGAGGAGTCTGTCACCTCTTTGTTTTCTTGAAGATATTTGTGTTGCCTGGAATGTTCCACAGCAGGGCATTACACTTACTTCGATGGGGAGAAGCAGATGACGCCACCAGACCAAGTTACAGGTCAGATCTGGAAGGTTAAGAGTGTTTTTTCAAGCTACTTTTACAGCAATAAAAACTTCTGTGAACATGTTTGAAGCCATATTGTGAAACATTCCAGCCAAAGTAATTAAGTAAATAATCTCCATGGAGACAAGCACGTGACAATCAGACCTTCAACCAGAAAAGTTACATAGCGCGGCGTTAAACCCTTCTATCCATTATGCCAGGGTTTTAATCGAGTTTTGAAATATAGAAGCATGAATCCAGCTTTACTTCTAAAACTGAACTTCAAATTTTCCTTTCCGAGCTCTTTTGTAACATTTGCATAGGAATCGCGGAGGTGTTGAAATCAAAACAAACAGACACAGCTAACAGATACACAGAAACTATTCAAAAAGCAGTGAGTGAAAAGTGAACAGCAAAAGCAATAGTGATTCTTTGTGTGCTGAGTGAATGAGCAGTCTCTTTAGTCACAAACAGTAAAAATACCTCAAACATGACCCCACTATGTCACTATAACAGTCAGGGAAACTCTTACAAAAAGGCTAAGACACAGGTTTGCTCCAGGCTTAGCAGACAAATATGGCACGGCTTTTGCCAATAAAATGTAGTGTACGAAATCTGTAATAAAATAAATAAAAATATAACGTAAGTCCAAGATCTTCTCTGATTGGATAAAATGTTCTGTTCCTACCAGTTGCTACCTTATGGTTCTAATCCAACAAAATGCTTTTTAAAAATGTACAGGCAATAATATTTATTTAGTGTCATTTTTCTTCACAAATAGCTGCTTTAACAATATGGAATTAATGGCATTTTCCTGAACTAAACTATTAAAAATCAGGTAGAGGTTCTTTAAAATCTAGTACTTTATATATGCATTTCCATATAATAAGAGCTTTAAGTCTTTTTCAAGATTTAAATATATTACATACATTTAAAATTCAAAATCTGAGTTTGAATTTTGGATAAACTCTGCTTGTGCAATAGTGTCTTTAAATCTCAAAGGCATGTTGGTGTAGAATACTGTTGTACTGTTGTAGTGGTACCATTGTCTCTGTTCTGTGAGAGCTTCCCTGGAAAAGGAGCCAAAAGCATCCCCATAATTGCACCTTACTCTTTCATAGACTCTTTTATAAACCTCGAGTTTTTTAGTTTTTGTCCCACTTTAGAAAAAGCAAACAAAAAAACAACAATTTGGCTATAAACCGTACCGCTACAAAATACAGTACATTGATTTGTCAAAACCTTCACAACATAAGCACAAAGCACGGACCAAAAGTTTCTTAAAGATACAAGAAAATTGTACATTAAGTTACGTAATACGCAGTCACATTAAGAACAGTAGAGCACTCATGTAAGGCAAAATCAGGTGATTCACAGTGACCACTTAAAAAGACCAAAGATTTGAGCTGTTTAAAAACTCCAGTCCAGCTTCACTGGCTTTGACAGGACATGGGGTTCAACATGATTTTCTAGCTTTCTAATGAAATAGAAATACCTGATATTTTCTCAGAAAAAGTTAAGTCAAGTGGCTTAAAGCGCCCCCTTCTGACCACTGCGCTGCCCACACCGACCACGTCCTGTTCAGAGAATGGCACATTTAACACCAAGAGCAACTATGGGGACCTTTTACACTCCTTTGTAAACCCAGTAGTTTAACAAACACAGATTCAAATATGTAAGAATTCATAAATAGACACATAGTACATCAGTGCAATTTTACACAATGTCGACACAAAGCATTTGGCATTTAAATTATGAAATGAATACAAAATATTTAACCCAATAAATAAACATATAAATACATCCAAACAGACAGTACAAACGAAAATAACATTTGGTTGTAAAAAATAAAGCTTTGAGAGTGAACGCCGTATCGGCACCATGGTAAAGCGCCCTCTAGTGGCAGGTCCTTTCCCACCAGCTGTGCTCTGTGGTTTAGACACAACTGGAACCGATCCTCAAGTCTCTGCAGTGTCCTGCTACAGCTCAACACAAACCCATGTGACGTGATATGAAACATAAAGTCTAAGTACTGGAGTATGTGGCATGTAATGGTACACTGTAAACACAGCAGGCTAGCAAAGCGCTGAGCGACCAATCTCATTCCACAACAGCAAGGCCATTCCCGGACAAGCCTGTTTCCTGGAGTCTTTTGGAGCTTCAGAGTCGAGGGCCAGGTGGGACAGCGGGCAGCCATGCATGGAGGGGGGGTCCTCCTGCCCTGCCCATAGCTCCTTTAGTTTCACTGTTTTGGCTCCTGGATCACTCCTTTGTTTCACTGTTTTGGCTCCTGGTTTGGCGTCTCTCGTCACAGCCGGTCCATCCTGAACGTGTCCTCGGTGGCGGGGTCGGCCAGCACCATGTCGGGGTCATTGAGCATGTGCAGTCCGTCTAAGGTCAGGGGGTCGATCTTCAGCTCGTCCAGAGGAAACTGGGAGTCTGCGTCAAAGCTCACGTCGCCCACACCGGCCAGAGAGTTAGTGAGCTCTTTAGACAGGCTCGGAGGGGACTCTCCTGTCACTGAAATACAACACAGTTAATGATATACTACAGCAGATTATTCATGAAAAATACAGTGCAGGTTACAATATTTTTAGTCCAATAAAATGTACACACAAAGACAACATAGACTATATGAAAGTGGACGGGAAAGAAGGTACCTGATTTGTCTACTATTACTGTTTAGATTTACAGACAAAAAAGCAAAATCAAAAGCACAAGAAATAGATATAGAGTGGTTTAAAACATTTTAAAATTAGAATTAAAAGGCCGACAGCAGCAGATAAAGAGAGAGGGCCACCAATGTATATCAGAATAGCAGGTTAGCTATGTCCATCTATACAGTCCATTATAAACCATAACACTTGAAATATATTTGCGTGAACTGTGCAGAATACTGTTTACACCAGAGAAATATAAGACCATATGCTTGGCTGCTTACTTAACAGATCCTAATATTGTCAGCTGGTCTCAGATGGTACCTGTCAAGATGATGTTGGGGATGTTGCCATGGCTACTATATCCGAGCTGCTGAGAGTCCTGCAGGCTCCCGGTCAGCCCCATCATGGCCGCCTGGGTGTAGTTGAGGGTGGAGCACTGGTTGAACAGACTGTTGGAGCTGATGGGGCTCTCGATCATGTTGAACTGCTCCAGCTGAAACAGAAAAGAATAGAGATGTAACAATAACCAAAATACCGTGATGTCGTATCATCAAAGTTCTTACAATAATATCGTGGACCCTCACAATATATCAAATTGCTTAAATTAAGAGTTCTGGTGCAGCAATACCTAAAAAGACTACACAGGGAACTACATAGACCATGATCCTTTGCTCCATTTCAGTGCAGACTACATGAAGAAATAACAGTTCTAAGCACTTTTAAGTCTTAGTTCTTTGGATTAAGTCTTGTCAAGGCATTTTAAGAGGAAAAGTTCTGTTTGCCTCCACAAAATATTGCAATAAATATCATACCGTGAGATGTATATTGTGAAAATATCATACAGAGAGATTTGGATAATGTTACATGTTACATCCCTAATCGTGAGCCTCCCCACCATATCATGAGCTTTCCCACGATATCATAATAAATATCGTATTGTGAGGTTCATACCGTAACGATACTGTATCGTCAGACTTTGATATCAATACACCCCTAGAAAAGAATAATTTAGATCGGAAATTTGGATCAAGTTCAAGAGTTAATACATTTCTGGAGGATAAATATAAATGTGTAGATGTGTTTTTATTCATTTTTTTGGCTTAAGAACAACAATTTTGACATTATCCTGCAGGCAAAGTATCACCCACCACTGCTCACCATTATTTTGCTCATAACAGGGTGCCCAAACTTGTCCTTGGTGGATCAAAATGAATACATTATATCAGGCCAAGATAATAGTGTAAGCTAGGAGTTAAATTTTATACATGTAATAAATCTGTCTTCCAGTTTGTTTATTGCACAAAATTTACTGGTTTTACGCTCCCATTATTTTAGATGACTTAAAATTATCTCTGAAATGTTGGTGTCCCAGTTTCTGTAGCATGTGTGAGACCTGATGTGAGAGTGCGTTGGTCTGTCTCGACGCCATCTGCTGGTCGTAGAAGGAATCTCCGAAAATGCTGCCGACCACGGGGATGTGCTGAGGGGGAAACAATGTAAAAAGCAGAGTTAAAGAGACATAACCGAGATCACATAGTAACAGAAACGCAAAACAGAAGCAGACAGAAGCAAAAAGGACTGTCTGAAGCAGTGACATCAGTGCAGGGTTAGTGAACAGGGCTGCCACAGAAAATAACCATATGAAGAAAGGAGGATGTAAGTATACTAGTGTTGGGCTGTATTAGGGTTAGTCAGTAAAAAGATCTAAAGCATGCTGTGAATGAAGTGAATGGAGTGAATTATAGTGAAAGTTTACAAAGCTTACAGACTTAAAGAAGACGTACTGTGCTTGTGTCTGCTGTATAGTTATAATCTGCAACACCCATGGGTCATTATGTTACAATTGGAACTTTTTAAAATCACAATATTCAACTAAAACGATTTACGAAAATAAAACAAGTCCGCTGAGATCTGCATCAGAAAACTGCGGTGCCCAATGGGAGCTGACGTCACCGTAAACGTCAAACTGATTTTTTTTTTAATTTTTTTTTAACATTTGTACCAAAATGACTTAACCCTATATTATTAGTCTGGCTACCTTGTGATGTCATGGGAGTGGTAGTTTTCAAATAGTTTTCAACAGCTAAAAGTATGTATGTCTGTATTACCACATGACATCACAAAAAAACCGCATGTTTTCTGTTTGAGGGAAAAAAATCTGCCTAAATATGCAGGATTCGTGCGAATGAAACAAAACACAACTCCAGCTATTAAGGATGTAACGATATCTAAATCTCGCGGTACAATATTATCACGATATGCTACGATATTTAGTGCGATATTTTGGAGAGGCTAATGTAATTGTAGATGTGACACTTTTTTGCTTTTAAAATACCTTGAGAAGATTTTGGTGCGATGTTGACGATGGTGTGGTGTCATTTCTGTCATAATCCCAAGAATTCAAGTAAAAAACATATCTCTTCATGTTGTTTGCACTGAAATGAATCATGGGATATGTAGTTCCCAGTGTTTAAAAGCTGTTGCTATTATAAAACCATGCATTTAAGCAAAGGAACTTGTAATTCGATATATTGTGACAGCCCACGATATTATGTTATATCCCCACCAGCTATGTTTGTGATGAGTAAACAACATCATAACATAGATCAGAAAATAGCATAATATAGGTCCTTTAAAGCAGATTCATTGAGTAAATGAGCAGTTTCTCATGGCAGCCCTGTGCACGACATCTAGAGGTTTTGAATGGGGGCTCTGGGGGTTCTCTGGTGCGTCCATTACATTACATATGACCCATAGTAACCCTGTACCCTCCACCACTGCACTACGTTAGACATAACACAGCTACTCACAGCTTATTTTAGCAGCAGCGGAGTGCACAGTGTTAACCATGTCTGCTAAACGTGATGGAAAAACAGGAAGCGCAGTGGTAAGTAACACCCGGGCTCACAACACACAGGAGCCTCAAACATCTGCCTGCAATGAGAGAAGCACGTCTGACCAGGGAGGGCTCTGTGCGGAGGGCTGGGTTTTAGATGGATTATGTGTAGAAACTGGACACGATGTAATGTCTTTGCCAGTGTGGCTTCATCTCTACTAATTTTCTTTTATTTTGAAAGTTTAATTTGTCATCTGATGTATAGTTTGGATTCAGTTCAATACCAAGATTCACATATTATCAGGGTTTTTCCAGGTGTGTGCAACAGTTACAATTGAAAGTAATTTTGGCGTGCAGTTAGGCCAGTCACAATAAGATATTCTGAGGTGGAATTGATACTTTGCAGTTGATGTCATCAACATTCCTTGGGGTGTGATGCTGACTGAAGGCACTACTCTGTCAGAAGCTCTACTTAGACTTGAATCTAAGCTCTCCTCAGAACAGAGGAGACTTAGTTGGAACTACAACTCCCTTTCAAATAACATTACAGTCACAAGCTCGCTAGTCACTCTCACCTTTTTGTTGAAAATCAAACACCTAAACAGATTAAATTCAATTTGTATTTTTTCTTGAGTTTTCAGGTCATTTAAAAAAAAAAAAAAAAAGATGCACTGAGAGATGCACTGATATTAAACAGAAGAAATAAACCCTTCACTGATGCAAATAATAAATAAATTAATTAATTAATAAATAAAACACTGTCCATCTGTCCAAGTCTATAGGCCTATATCCATCTGCTGTCCATATGCTGTACTATATTCAAACATAGTCACATATTGTATATAATATTTCTATAACCCTACATTTGTATTCATGCCATTTTGCAGCTATATTGAAAATATTGAAAAGGCATGTTTTGACAATGTTATATTTTATTTATATGAGACATTTATCTGTAATTATAGTGTATGCATATGTAATATGCCAGATGATGGCAAAGATGAAAATTTCCATCTGTATCAAAATAGTTAATTTCACATAATACCAACTCTTTATGTCTGCTTAGGCCCTAAGCAGACATAAAGAGGGGGTATTATGTTTTTAGACCCCTGGCTTTGGGTGACCAGAGGTCCCTCTTTACCCGGGACAGTCCCAGTTTTGAGTCCTGTGAGCAGATTTATATAAAACCAGTGATTTGTCCCAGTTTTATACAAGAAATGTCCCATGTGTCCCTACTTTTGACCAATTTGATACCTCCCAACAGTAACGAGGCACAAATTGTAATTTGTGCCTACAAAACTACAAAAAAGCTACTTAAAAATGACCAAAACACAAAGAAAATGTGACTATTCTGACTCACATCTTAGTCATGAATGGTCTCTGCATAACAGTTGTCCTTAATTACGCACTCATTTCACAGTTTTATTATTACCAACCACCCCAAACCGAGGAATTCCCACTTTTTGATTTTGAAAATCTGTCACCCTATGTCTGCTGTTCTTGAACTTTTTGTTGCAACACTGAACTTTCATGATGAGCCAAAACAACAGGTTCTTATGGTACAGTTATTATTGAGACAGGCCTGTTTGCAGTCATAGCTCTCCATAGTAAAACCTGAGCCCCTTGTTGTGCACACAGTGAACACACACAGCAGTGATGGAGGAGAAACATGAGTCAAACTGCAGCTGGAACTATGGAGGTTACTGCAGACACAGAATGAAGCAGCCGGGCTCATGAGCGGTTAGCGGTGTGCTTAGCCCCCGGAGCACAGCCCTTCCCCAAAAGCAGTGCTAGTGCTAGCGCTAGCTCGGAGGCTAGCCCTTACTTGAGGCGAGCCGCTGGGGGAGAAGCCTTGATTGGAGACGGGGGAGGTTGGAGACTGAGTGGCGGGGGAGCCTGTCTGATTGCGGTACTGTAGTAGAGGGAAGAGTGTTAGCTAGTGCTAAGCTAACAAAGGCTTCCAATCACACACAGTAAATAGGCTCAAAGTCTCAGACTGAAACTGTAAATGAGATCAGGCATTGCTCTAAAAACCTTGGAACTTGTAAAAATACAGTTTAGACGTATTGGTCACAATTAAAGCTGCACTATGCACTTTTCAAGAGAGGGTCCGTCACCTAATTGTCTCCATGGAGATGTTACTGCTTTGCTTGGAATGTTTAACAATATGTCATAGAACATATTTATTTTACATTAAGCAAATTACAGGTATTTTATTTCTCAAAATACCTTCATAACATGCATAGTCACCACTCCACAGATCTGACCTGTAACTTGGCCTTTTAGAGTCACTGGGTTGTTGGTTTCTTTGTTTAATGCTGCGCTGTAGAAAATTCCAGGAAGAGCAAACACATCTCCATGGAAACAAGCAGTTGGCAGACACTCCACCAGAAAAGCCATTTCAAAGTGTAGAAAAAAACAGTGATACTTAGCTTTGTCATAAGCCACTACTACAGACACGGCAAATGGATTTACAAATTCAATCTATAATTTTCTGCAGATTTCAGAGTGATGAGATAATTGTTATTTGAAAAAAGCATTCAATCTTTTAAATCAGGGGTGTCCAAACTTTTTACACTGAGGGTCACATACTGAAACATATGTGAAACAAAAGGGCCACAGGATAATAAAGAGAATCATTGAAAGTCTGATGTAGGTTTGACAAAGCCACCTCACCTTCAGTTAGTCTTGGAACATCAACATTCGGTCTGTATCATATTGGTTTGTACTCAACAGGAAGGCTGAGGGCCAGTTTAGACACCCCTGTTATGAAACATTCTATGCACATTCTGCCTCGTCTTTAATTGGGTTTGTGTAGTGATGGGGACTTACAGAGCTGATGCTGATGCTGGCGGTGGTCTGGCTCTGGTCTGGAGAGGGGCTGGTGACGGGGGCGGAGCCTGAGGGGGGCGGGGTGGGCAGGGCGATGAGCTGGATGCCCGGGGGGAGGCTCTGGGGCTGCTTCTGGAGGTCACTGATGAGCTGAGCCTGGGCATGGGGGGGCAGCTGGTTGAACAGGGGGTACTGCGACAGCTGCTGCTCCAAACTCAGCGACTCGGCCTAAACACAGACAAGGCAGAGCTCGTGGGTTTCACGTGACTTCACAGCAGTTAAAATCTGAGTATGCTGCCTCCGGTAGCCACTGCAATTTCAACTACTATGTTACATTACACAGGACTGCTCTGTTTATCGCTGCAGGGGCAGAGCTTGAAGTGTGGACACCTGTTAGACTAATCACAATGTGCCGTCTACCCTCAGACACTGCCCCTCCTCACCCCTCACTCCCCCCCTTTAATACTCCAGGTACAGTCTAGTTTAGCAGCTCTGTTTAAAATGCGGCTGTGGGAGGAGTTTAGATGTTTAGTCCCACTTTAAAAATCTCAGTCACAACTGAACCTGCATTGCCAGTGCATTAACCTGCAGATAGAGGACACATACAAGTTTTTTTCATTCTCAATATATGGACAAGCCTCATATGAAAGCTTAGAACCTCCAGAATTCACTCTCAGCTGCAGAGGCTGCACTAGCACTCATTCTTGATTGTCTGCAAGTGCTGAAGTTTAGGATTTAGATCAGAGAGTGGCATTTAAAGTTTACACCAACTGGACTTTATCCTTGAAACTCACAACCCAAACAAGAGACTCATGTGAGGCTCATTCTGCTTTTAACAAAACTATGACATAAACATCAAGTCTAAAGTTATAATAAATAATTTTAGCAATCGGCAGTAAACACTACATTTGATTTCAACAGGTCTACTTCATATCTAGGGCCACAGTTTGATCATGTTTATGGAATTTAAACTCAAAATTTTATAAACCACCTGTAAATGAAAACCCTTAGCATTACCAGAGATATTTCCCTTCTTTTTATGTGGTTATGTGAGGTGGAGGAGGGTGCTGGGGTTACCTGTGTGAGGCTGACGGGGGAGGTGAGGGTGGGGGAGAGCTGTTGGGGGGACTGCTGCAGCTGGAGGTCAGAAGTCAGGGTCAGAGGCACCACAGGAGGCTGGCGACGCTGAGACATGTTTGGCTGAGAGGTGGGAATACCTGTGAAACAGACATCAAATTAAAGAAAATTAAACAGCAAAAAAAATTATCACAAATTAATGATGAGGCCACTGTGTGCTGTCTGCATTTCACCCACAAGTAAATAGCATAATCAAATTATTTTTTTCCATAGACTTAAAAAAAAAAATCTAATAATAAAAGGCACAATTTTTTATCGATGTTACAATGGTATTTCCTCATCACAAACATACTTGGAATTGTGTTTTGTTTCATTCACACAAACTCTGAACTTAGGCTGAGTTCTTCTCACAAAGAAAACTCTGTTCCACCTTATGATGTCATATGGTAGTATAGGGAGTGCTCCACTGTGTTTTTAAACTCCATTCAAATTATTCTAGTGAATCAGAATCAAATCAAATTTATTTGTCATTTCAGTATAAAAAATACACAGAAACCAAACAATGCACTCAGGTCCAGGTCAACAGCAGCACAGACAACAATAAGAATAAATAGTTATAATAAGCATAAATAGTTAAAAAAATATATATATTGTATGTCAACCCGCCCCCATTTTCTAAAGTGCGTTCCAAGTCAGTGCTGTTTTGTAGTGTCCGGGCTTTCTGACAGAATTAATCTGTCTCACGGCATCAGGATAAAAACTGTTCCGTAGTCTGGTGGTCCTGGCCTGTAGGTGGCGCAATCTTCTGCCTGATGGGAGAACTGTAAAAAGTTCATGTGCTGGATGGGTGGAGTCTTCCACGATGCTGTGGGCTTTTGTCCTGCACCTGCTGATGTAAATATCTTCAATGCAGGGCAGACTACAGCCGCAGATGTGCTCCGCAGCTCTGACTATCCTCTGCAGAGCTTTCCTCTCTGCCTTGGTGCTGCTGCTGAACCACACAGTCATGTTGGAGGTGAGGATGCTCTCCACCGCACACCTGTAAAAGGCCTTCAGGACAGAGGGGCCCACACCTGCTTTTTTGAGGCGCCTAAGGAAGTATAGGCGTTGGTGTCCCATTTTCACAATGCAACTGGTGTTGTTAGACCAGCTGAGACTATTCATGATTTGGACTCCCAGGTATTTAAGACAGGAAACAATCTCCACTGCATCTCCATTGATGTACAGAGGAGAGGGGGCATTAGGTTTCCTGCGGAAATCAACAATCATCTCCTTTGTTTTCTTTATACTGATGCACAGATGGTTGGTTTTGCACCAAGCCTCCAGCTGACAGACCTCCCTTCTATAATTGGACTCATCGTTGTTCATGATGAGCCCCACCACTGCTGTGAAACTTCACTATATGATTGGAAGAATAGTGAGCGACACAGTCGTAAGTGAGCAGTGTATACAGAAGGGGGCTTAAAACAGAAGCTGAATGATTTCAGCCTTGGAATTTCCAATCTCTTCTAAACAAAAGGTAAAAGGTCGCTGTTAAACTTGAAAACTACCACTAGATGAAATCACAAGAACAGAACGTTTTGAGTTTAGGAGATGTAGACAGACTAATAATAAAGGATTACTCAAGCATGTGGGAATGAAACAAACACAACCCCAGGTATGAGTTAACAATATTATAACACTGCTTAAAGCTCACAGGAATATTTTTTTTAAGTAATACAGGACCTTTAAGAGTGTAAACTGATTTCTTTCTGCAGGTTTTAACATAGACAATCATGGACAAAAATGTCAAAGATCAAAAGTGTTATTTCAATTACTTGTACTTAGTCATTCAAATACACCAGTCACTCTAAAATCCATTAATTAACTGATGAGGTCTTCAGGTATTTTTGATTATTGGGTTTCTCCACACCAAAAACAGCTCTAGTTATATTATTATCCCTGTGTTATGAGTGCGTTACCGTGGCTGGCTGCGCTGATGCCCAGGTGGGTGAGGTTGGTGGTGATGCTGCCCGTGCTGTTAGCGGCGCTGAGGGAGGGGAAGGCCATAGTGTCCTCTGGGTCCAGGGGGGTGGAGAGGGGAGGGGGGAACTGGATGTTGGTCAGATCAGGCAGGGACCCTCCAGTGTTATGGGCGGCGGGCAGCACAGACGGATTCAGCTCCTGGTCCGGAGAAGGGAAAATACTGCAGACAAAGATGCAGGTTAAGGGTATGTTTACATTTTCACACACACCACATCAAACTGAGATGGATGAATAGGTAAATAGATGGATAGATAAATACTTCTTCTTTGTAATCCCCTCAGTCGTTGGTTCCATAGTGGTACATGTGCTTTTATACTTGTCCTGATACAGCTCAATATCATTCTAAAGCTATTCAGGAAATAGTCATCGATACCTGCTCAAATGAGTATATAGTTTTGACCACAGATAGGCCTGCACAATAAATCATAATCAATTCAAATTAGCAGTTTGGGTTGGTGAAATTATCAAACTGCAAATGCTGCAATTATTTTAATAATATAATGTCTTTGGAAATAACAAAATATTCTGTCTGTTTAGAAAATTGTGTTTAGATCTCTACAAACATGTTCTGAAGTGCATAGGATTTTTGTATTCATTTAACAGTTCATATTTTAGTCTTTCTCTCAGATGTTAAGATCCTAGAGTTGTTTATAATGTGCACTTTGAACAGAATCCTACTTTTTAAACATAAAGTGCAAATCCAATTACAATACCAATACTATAAACACATACAGTGACAAGACTAGAAGCAAGACATATAAATTCACACTCACTTGATTCCTGGGACATCACATGTGTTTGGCTTTGGTGAATCATCCTGGGGACAAAACATAAATTGGATTGGATTCTATTGACTCTATTGCATTAGAATACTGAAGGCTGTCAGTATCCTGGAAGGAAGAGACCTGAGTTATTGATTTAAACAGGAAAATCCCACTGAGATTAAGGATCTCATTTTCAGGGGGAGTTTTCACTGCAGAGGAGAGCTTAAGGTGCATGTTTTTAGTGGTAGGGAAAACCAAAGCATCTCTTCAATATTTCTTTGATCAATGCTCCTGCATGTGGTCCCTGTAAAATAAACTGAAGAAACTAAAACTAAAACTACTACAATTTGCTACTCTGTTTTCTACTTTGCACTATTTTTGGCTACTCCACCCACTTCTGGTTATAACAGTGTTAGTTGTCATACACGACGCTTAAAGAAGCATTGTGCAGCTTTTCTGGTGGAGGGTCTGTCAAATATTTTTCCCCATAAAGATGTTATTGCTTTGTCTGGAATGTTTCACAGGCATTAAACCCTTATATATTCATGGAGACCAAACCAGACCAAGTTACAGGTCAGATCTGTGGAGAGGCAATCCCAGTCACAGTGTGGATGCCTGTTTTTCTAAGCATTTTTGATCTATAAAACCACCTGTAATTGAATAAATGTAAGGTAGGGCTGTTTAATGTGGAACATTCTAAGCAGAGTAATGACATGTCCATAGAAACGGGCAGGTGATGCACCCCTCACAAACAAGTTACATAGTGCACCTTTAAGTTTCTTTACCTTCTTTTCTTCCCACATCTGTTTCTGTCCATCCTTTTCTGTGTTGGACTCTGAGTTCTCTGTCCCAGGCACTGTCAGCAGTAGGACTGAAACAGAAAAAGTAGAAAACGGTTACAAACCAAAAATACACATCCAAACAAACAGAAAATACACTATGGCAAATCACTGAAAATGAGTCATTGATAAAGACAGAGGAGCGCGCGCAGACAGGAGGAACACCAGATTTCTATGGCTAAAAATAGCAGGGTGAACACCAGACAGACTGAGTGGATTCCAGCCAATCCCACACGTAATCCAGGGCATAATCACTGAATTATTGATCCAGGCTTTTCAATCAGCTTGACTCAAATACGCCTCTGCAAACAAGTGCTACACCAACGAGATCAGTATCCTCACAGCCTATAAATATTTTAGAGACAGTAGATCTAAAATTTCTTTAGTAATATTCTTAGTAACATTAAAAGGTGCATCGTGTAACATTTCTGGTGGTGGGTCCATCCGTCAGACATGTGCTTGTTTCTATGGAGATGTCATTGCTCTGCCTGGATTGTTCCACAACATGACATTAAACAACTCTACCTTACATTTATTCAATTATAGGTGGTTTTATTGCTCAAAAAAGTCTAGAAAAACAGGCATTCTGACTGTGAGCGAGGCTGCCTCTCCACAGATCTGACCTGTAACTTAGCCTGGTTTGGTCTCTACTGTGAAACATTCCAGGCAAAACAATAACATCATGGATAAAAGCTTTTGACAAACCCTCCACCAGAAAAGTTACACAATGCACTTTAAAAAGAAGACATTTTTTCCATGGTAGACATCAATATTGACCTAAAATATCTTAAAGATGCAATATGTGACTCCTAAGACGAGGGTCCACTACTTGTTTGTCCCCCTGGAGATGTTTTTTCTTTGCCTGTGTAGGAGCCATTCTTCTTTCGTTTAGGTTGGGGTTAATTTGGGTCACTGTTTACGTCTGGGGGCACAGGGTGACCTATATTTGCCTTGGCTAGAAGGGGCAGGGTGGAGTCAAGCCCTATATGAACGCACAGGTGCTAGTGTACTGGGTGTATGGGTGACAGGAGGTCATGCGTTTTTTATATCTCTCTCTCACTCCCATTCTCCCACTCCTTTCTGCTCTATAATGTGCCACAACCTGGATTCTGAAGCACGTTAGGCCTAGAACCCCTACACCCAGAAACGACAAAAGGTTAGGACTAAATTTGTCTATACAGCTTGGAATGTTGAAGTCTTAACATGTGCAGGGTTGTTTCTCCGTAGATCTGACCATTAACCTGTCTCCATTGTGATTATAAAGCTTTCATACTGTGGAAAACCAAGGCAAAACAGTACTATCTCCATGTAGACAAGCAAGTGGCGGTCCCAGAACCAGAAGAGTGGCACAGAGCACCTTTAAAGGCCCTGTACCTTAGCAAGATGTGTCTTTCCCCACTACAGATATATAGTTGTGGTTGTAATGCATTCTAAGCTAATTTACTGTCTAATAGTCAGGAAGTGCAAATTTGCATGTTAGTAGCAAAACTCTTCTGGTCTCTGAATGCTGTGAAAAGCACTTATGAACTCACAGCTGTGAATAATTAGGATGCTCAGAATGCATAAGGTGAGGAAGAACTTTGGACCACTGAAAACTAGTCCTGTTTTTAAGACAGTAAAATTCAGGTAATAATAATAATAACAAATAAAATCTTGTTCATGTAGATGAAATCTATACTGAAAGCCATTTTATTTTACTTTTGAAAAGAAAAAAAAAAAGGAAATCAAGATCAACCAATATATGTAGAAAAATACTGATTGCTATTTTTTGTTATACCACCAAGCCCTAACTAAAATACAAAGATGTGAATAACATTTTAAATAGTAAAATAAATAGAGGCTATATTTTGTGGCATTACCGCGTTTAGGCTGCAGCTCCTGTGATCCTCCTGCATACACCTCCTGTGGTTTTGGATTCATGGCGCTCTGGTGCAAAGCTGAGTCTGAGTTTGTCCTGAGAGAGAGAGCGCGAGGAGTCAGCAAAAACACAGCCAAAACACCACTACAAACACACTCATATTTTAAAACTGCATAAACTACTGCTCAAAGGGATTTTACAGAAATTATGGAGATAGGTAAACAGTGACAATTTTCAGTGACTATTTACTTTAGCTTAAATGTAGTATATTATGCAATATTTGTTCTGGTGCCATGTTAGAATGCTATTACTTCATCAGAAACATCACTGGAGTTGTGTTGTTTCATTCACACACGTTTGAGCAATCCTTTTTTATTTGTCTGTCTACATCTCTAAAGCTCTAAAGGCTCTGTTCTGCCTTGTGAGTAAACAGTTATTTTTTACCTTTAGTTCAGTACTTTGGCAATTCCAGAGCCATGATTCTAATGAAGTTGTATGGAGTTTAAAAACACAGTGGAGCACTTCCCGTTTTACCACATGACATCACAAGGTTGAGCACTGCTGTAGGCCCTTTAATAGCACTAATAAGGTTGAAGATTTCAGAAGTAGTAATCTGGACATAGTAGTAGTAGTCATAGTAGTAGCAGTAGCAGCAGCAGCAGTAGTACTGTAGCCCTTTTTGTGCCTTGTTTTTCGATGCAAATGAAAATGAATTACATCTCTTCTCATATCATTCAGCCAAACCATCAGCAACACAGTTTTGTATCCAAGAATCTCATTTTGTATGATTAAAAACCAACTCTACCTCTATTTTTTTGTTGTTGATGTAAGAAACAATTTTTTAAAACTAAACTCGATATCAGCATTGACCCAATTGGACTAAGGTCTGCAGTACACCACACACGCCCCCTGCATCTTAAACTGCCCCAGTTTCTTTAACTCTCTGGAGGAAGAAGCAACTAAAGTCTGTCAGAGAGCTCAAAGGTCTGCCAACTGCTTGTACTCATGGATATCAGAATGGTCCATGGTATGGCATTAAACTTTTCCTCTGTAACCTGTCCTGGAGGTGACAGAAGCAGGACAAGTGCCAGGTTATATCTGTGGAGATGGAGACATGTGCCTGCTCAGTAAGAGCACTTGTTTTTCAAAGTATTTTTTAACAGAACCTAATATTAAATAAAGCTACGTTTACACTGAAATGAATCACGGTCTCACCGTATCGGAAACAATCTGCGTCCAGTCGTTTCTGTGTCCGGAAGCCTTCCCTATCCACACAGCTTTGAGCAAATTTGTTTATGTTTTACAGAAATTAAACTTAAAACCGCATAGCTAATTTGCATAAACTAAGTGCTCAAAAAACAGCTCGCTATTGTGCGCTGATGCGGTTCAGCTTCTGTCGGACTAAAGGACACGACTCATTGGATTATATGTGTTCTTTCTTTGACAGAGGGGTGTCTGTTCTGTGCTTCTATAGCGTTGGAGATGATTCATGTTAAACTTTTCAGAGATTATATGTCTGCAGGTCACCGTATATATGAATGGACATATATTCTAACCTCTTAGTGTTTTGGCAGTGAAATACTTTGCAGCACATAGACCTACATCAGCCTATCAGCGTGTTCAGGCGTCCACACAGTGCTAAATCAGATCTGTACTCAAATGAATTGGTGGGAGCTGGCAGCACCAGATCGTTCCACCTCTGGAGCTGTTTTCAATCGGATTAGTGTGGACGAACACTGCATCCACAACGAAAACGACTCTAATACGTACTCGTGTGGATGGGGCCTAAATGCGAGATAGATAAGTTTAATGTCATACTGTGGAACAGTCAAAGCAAAACAATAAACCCCATGGAGACAAGTTGACCGTGGAACATGCATATTTTCTGATCTATGTTATAATGTTGTTTCCTCATCACAGGCATATATGGAGTTGTTTTGTTTCATTCGCACATTTAACACCTTGTGATGTCATGTGGCCATGTGTTCCTCTGTGTTTTTAAATTCCATACACCTTCACTAGAATCATTTGGATTTCAGCCCTAGAACTGCCAATCTATACTGAACAAAAGGTAAAAGGTAGATGTTAATTTGGAAACTACCGCTACATGACATCACAAGGAGGAACAGAGCATTTTAAGCATTAGAGATGTAGACAGACTAAGAATAAAGGGTCACTCAAACATGTGTGAATGAAACTAAATGCAACTCCAGGTCTGTTTTAACAACATAATTTAACTTAACTTAATAACATGACTAAAAGCTCACAAGAGTCAATTTGGCATAATATAGGATCTTTAAATTTACATTTAAATTAACACTGATTATGTCCTCTGGGTGTTATTGTATTGTAGTGTGTGTAAATGCAGTTATCTTACCTTCTCCAGCTCGTGTCAGGCGGAGGGGAGAGGTACACTGAGCTATAGGGACAGCTGTCGATGTGAATTCAGTTAAGGTTAATAAAGAAGAACGGATGACAAATTGATCTAATGCTAATCAATATTTTCACGCGTCTCCGAGTGGTTCCAGGCGATTACCTGGGATAAGTAACTCAAAACCAGTGTTACAAGGATCCAATTACACAGAGAAAGCTGCAGACAGAGACGCTTGTTTTCTTCACTCAAATGGATTTTTTGGGAATGAGTTTGGCAGCAGGGGAGCCACAATACAGTGTCACGTTCAAGTACCTCCTCTCACTGCTCAGGAAAAAGCGTAATCTGCTTAGACTGGAGTGTTTGAACTGAGAGAATTTGTAGCACTATTTTGGAGTAGAAATCAAATCTTTGGAGTGTAGTATTTTGGTCATATTTTCTACTTTTCTTCAAAGCTTGTAAAAGAAAAGTGATTTGATAGGATTAAGTTCAAGGTTCAAGAGGAGGACCACACCTCAGCCTCAACATACCACAACCCAAAACATGCACCATAGGTATAATCCTCCAGCTAAGGTAGTTGTGACTGTACATATAAATGGACATAGATCACCCGTTACCTGCCGTGTTCCAAATAGGAAATAAGCATGGGTGCAATTCCGACTCCATGGATTTTGGCTTCACTTGACTCTACACTGAAAAACTGTCAACCATCTCTTTGTAACTGCTGAAGTGAGTCTTGTCATTTTGATTTTAAAATGTGGGTTAATACAAACACGCTGTACATGTTCCTGGTGTTTTCATTTCACTATTTTGCACGCAAATAAATTCCTATTCCTAATATAGAACTGGCTCCAAATGAGCCCCTATAACTGCGATCCTTGGGAGCTTCATCTGACTGGAGCTGAACGCTATGGGTGACGTCAAACTCCCTTAGTCCACGTCTTTCAAGATCCTGTAGATGGGTTCCCACTGTATTTATATTTATGTGCTAGTAACTACTTTCCAAACTCCTCTCCTGTTTTAGTCCTTGTTGGAGCTCAGTTTAGTCCTGACGTAGATTTGGTTTGGACCCGAGTTACACCATGGTCTAGTCGAGGAACTAGTTCAGGAACTAGTCCAGGGTCTACTCCTGGGTCTACTCCTGGGTCTACTCCTGGGTCTACTCCTGGGTCTACTCCTGGGTCTACTCCTGGGTCTACTCCTGGGTCTACTCCTGGGTCTACTCCAGATTTAGTAAAAATTGTTGTGCAATAAAATGGAATAATAGTGAGATTGTTCCATGCAAAACAATAGCATCTCCATGGAAACAAGCAGTTGGTGTAACAAAGTGAAGTTTTAAACGCCATCATGAAGCATTTTGTTCGCTTCCGTTCTAAAACATGATTTCAGCGATGGAATAAGGGAATGCTTCTATGTGAGTGAACATTATTAAAACTAATTGAGATTTCTTTTCCGCTTGTGATGAAAAAAGCTCCAAAAGCACTTCAGATAATGCGCTCTTAATTTGTCTGGGTAAAGGATATCTGGCGTCCATGTTTGTCCACGGAGAGGGGCCTTCGGTGGGGGGAAGTGATGCGGTTTCTCTCCCTGTAGACCCTCTCGACCAGCCCATGGTGCCTGGTGGTTCGACTAGTGTCCATCACCGAGTTCTGTATAAAAACACTAAAATCAAGCTGTCTACAAGTGCAAATGAACACAGCAGTGGGATAATGTTGTTTTTCTAAAGTGCATATGACAGGTTAGACTATGCATTTCACTAAAACATGGTAATTATATTTACAAGGTCCCACATTATTACACAAAATTGGCTTTTGTGAACCTTAAGCCATGCTATAATGTTGTTACCTCATCAAAACCATACCTGGAGTTGTGTTTTGTTTCATTCACACGTTTGAGTAATCCTTTATTATTAGTCTGTCTACCTCTTTAAAGCTCAAAACGCTCTGTTCCACATTGTGATGTTATGTAAGTTTTCAAGATAACAGCTACCTTTTACCTTTTGTTCAGTAGAGATCAGAAATTCCATTGCTGTAATTATCCAAATGATTCTAGTGAAGGTGCATGGAGCTTAACGATACAATTGAGCATTTTTTGTATTACCATATGACATCACAAGGTGGAACAGAATGTTTTCTGTTTGACAGAAGAACTCAGCTTACTGTGCAGATGTGACACACACAGAGGTAAGTCTGTAACTGTTACCTAGCCACCATAACGTTAACAAGGATCAACTCTGTCTAAATTGTGCAATAGTTATGATTAGACTAACAAAATAGCAACAACACCCTTATTTTGTTAACTGAAACTTTAAACTGCCAGAAAAATGCCTTCTTTGGGCATAAATTGTCCCTGCATTTTAGATTGAATTTTCTGTTTTAATGGCACAGAAAAAGAGATTCGGGTTTTTTTGTTTTGTTTTGTTCTTTTAAACTCAACACTACTTCCTTTTCCTTTAAAGCAGACCTACTAGTATTATGCAAAATCAACATTTCAGAACTTTTAACCATGTTTTAGTTGTCTTCCCTTCTCATTTATCTTGAAGTTGTATTTGGAGTGATCTGTGCATGTTTGAGCAATCTTTAAATCGCTTATTTTAAAGACGTGCCATTTTGCTGATCAACCCCAGTTTTCACCATTGGCATACGCCCAGTGCTCTGTACTTATTTCAATCTCCAATTCTATTTTCTTAATCTTTGGTATGCATAAGATTTGGCAGTGTTGCATACTCATTTTGGTACAAATGAAGAAAAAAATCTGCTGCTGGCTAGAAGGATCTATAGCTATCCATCGGAGGTGCAAACAACTTCACAACTCTTTGTTGTGATGACATTTACAGCAACCTCAGCTCGCGGTCTCACATCGCTGTTTTCTAACGTGGAAGTCAGCAGATTTGTTTCCTTTAGTGGGGGTTTAGATAAATATTAAAATATTATTAAACATGCAAATTATAACACAATGATCCAAGGGTGTCATAGGTTATAACTATATAGCATAAGTTTTCTTTAACCCTTTTTCCAACAACCTCCTACTTAACAGATGTAAATATTTAATCAGATATTTAGCAAATGTACTATCCCACTAAACCAAATCATAATTAACATGAAAACCTGTCATATGCACTTTAAAGGTTCAATGGTGCAGATGCGTCACCGTGAGTCCATGGGCCCCTCTGATACTGATGCTTGAGTTGGCAAATGTATTCAAAGATGGAAAGCCATGACAAGCAATGGTATTTTCAAATTTAGGAACCAAATCTCAGGTGGGAATGATCTGCTTGTAGTCAAATCGTGGCTTCCTTTCTCTAACTCATAACTGGGACATGACTAGAAGGGTTTTCTCATCTATCTTAGGCCATTTAAAAGTCCTCACATTTTAAGAGCAATCCTCTTTTCACAAAAGTAGGGCTGTGCAATTTATAGAATTTGAATCGAGATTCCGTTATTTTTAATGCCCAGTGATAAACTTGGGTCTTTTTAATCAAGAGTCAATCCTCTGTCAGTAAAAACATGTGGTCTGGAGTTACTCACATCGGTGATAGAAATGTAACTATTTTGTGTTAAATGACAATTATTCATTTATTAAAGGTGCACTATGTAGCTTTTCTAGTAGAAAGTCTACATGCTTGTCACCATGGACATGTGATTGCTTGGTCTGGAAAGTTTCACAATATGACATCACATCTATCTCTATAGAGAAAAGCAGTTGGAACAACAGGCAAGTTATAGGTCAAAACTGTGGAGAGGTGACCCCACTTACAGTAAGAATGCAAGAATGTTTCTTTTCTAGTAATTTTTGTAAACAATGAAAGATATACAATTTTAAAACTATTTTGTGGAACAATCCCAGCAGAGCAATAAAATCTCCATGGAGACAGGCAGGTGTGGACTCCCTTTCAAGAAAGTTACATGGAGCACTTTTAAAACTCTCCGTTGTTTACATTTGTGAAACTTAAAATTGAAAGCAAGCAAGTTAAATTTGTTGTAATAAGACAAAATAAAATCTGAAAATTGTAATTAATGAATAAAAAATGTAAAAAACTCTCTGATTACTTTTTTGTCATATCGCCCAGCCCTACACAAGAGTACATAAGAATAAAGCGTAGATCACCGGGCTCACCTGAAAAGGCAGGTCAATGTTGCCATTTCCAATCTGATTGACATTGGGCAGTGAGCCTCCATAGTACTGTCCACGATTCTGCCCTAGTTGCAAATACTGGGTCTTCTGCAACTGCAACTGTGCAAAGTAAAATTGCGTGAAAGCATGGGTGAATGACAAATCTGATACACAAAAATGAAAAAATAAACAATGCAAAACAAGAAGAGAAGCCATGTGGCCAACAGTATGAACAAATAAACTACGAAATTATAGTGGGTACGATCATAAGCAGAAAATAAAAGCGTATGGTGATGATAATGTGAATTGATAATGTGAAATGAAAAGATTGACGGTCCATATAACGCTTACGCCATACAGTATCGGACAAACCTCCACGGATAGAGCAACATGAATGACCTAAACAAGTCCAATTACTTTGATGGCAAGACAAAATTTGACAAAGACCACAAACCCCCCTCATAACTGAACTGGCCCTTTTCCAGGTGCAGCAGAAAGACTTTCATCAAAACACTGGACAAGACTGACACTAAACATACTGGTAATGTACAGTGTGTGTAAGGTAGATGCAAGTATTAGAAAACAGGCAGTCATTAGCAATAAGTAACTCTGGAATCAAGTTTCCTGTGCATATTATTCCCCACTGCTAAAAGAAAATGGCTCTTTGTAGACTTAGAAAGCAAAATATCATCCATCCATTTGACAAATTATAAATAAAACAGAAATGTCCATCATACTTATACCTCATATGGAACCGTTTGTTTACACTCTAGTAGTTTTCACAAAAGCATGTCATTTCTATGTAATTCTTCACAGATCTATCACAATCCCGACAGTAAAGCAGAGCTCCTATTGTCAGTGACAGCATGTATCAGCAGGTGCTGTACCTGGCCCGCGTGTGGGGCAGATAGTGCGGGGCAGATAGTGCGAGGCATAGAGCGGGGCAGATCTGTGTGTGCAGGCTAACGCAGTTTGGGACTGGCAAAGTGCCGTTCAAACCTCGTTACGCCGTGGCCGTGATTAAGCCATTTGTTGTCTGTTCATGTGAGCGGAGGCTGAGGCAGACGGAGCACAGGTGCACTGTGCATCCACACGGAGCTAGCGGAGCTAACGCGGCTCAAGAAGCTTACGGCTTAAACCGACCTGTTTAACAAGTGACAGTGGCCACATAATGTGTGAGAGGAGCATCGGTGCAGATTAAGGCGTTAGTAACTTTAGCTCCTTAGCATCCAGCGTCCTGATCTGTCTCCGCAGCGTTTGGTGGATGCCAAACAGCGATGCCACAAAATGTAAACACGGCGCCCGGAGGCCTCACCCGCGCAGCTCTGGTGATGTTCAGGTCCTTCATGACTTCTTCAAACGCCGCAGTCTCCTCCGCCTGCTTCTGGTTATGCAAAGCGATTTTTTCGCTAAATTTGCGCGGATTGTTAGAGGACGCCATCTTTCCCTCTTCTTCTCAATGGAATGTCACGTTACGTTACGCACCAACAGGCCTCTGTGACGTCACCACGTACGAGCTCACGCAAAGTGCGCTCCCACATTGACTCACAAATTTGTTTTGGGAAAAGCCTGGAAAGTTGGAGGATGTAAATCTATAGACATGCATTTGTATCGAATTTGTTCAAAAGTTATTCTTTGAACTTGTGTTTTCTTTAAGAACTTGTATTTCAGATTAGAATAAATCCAATAACACGGACTACGATGAAATGTCACTGTAGAGTTACACAGTGTGAACAAGAAAAATCCTCTTGTGAAAAAAACAAAACAAAAAACCCCAAAATGATGCAAAAACATTTTTGGATGCAGCTTTAGTTACACAGACATGCTGAACATGAGCCATAGACTTTATCATTTTAAAACACATCTTTAATAAAGTATGCACATACAGTTATACAGTGGTCTACATTCCTCGTTGACTTCTGTTTTAATATTGCACTTCAGTCATAATGTGCTTTTCTGCTACAGCTCGGACAGTACAGACACTAAGGCAAACAGAACGCAGGCTGAGCCACTGTCCAACACTTTCACAGAGGACAACGGCGGCCATATCGGACCCTCCACACATTATACACACATAACACACACAGACAATACCATAAGCGACAGACGCAGATCTGTGCTGCATTTTAAAGTGCAACATTACAGTTATAGAAGCGCACAGTCGTGTCTTAAAGATGCTCTATGTAACTTTTTGGGTGGAGCGTCTGCCATCTGCTTGTCTCCATGAAGATTTTATTTCTTAGCTCAGAATGTCTCCCAGTGAACTTTATGTGCTCTCATTCAAACAGGTCAAGTGTCAAGTAACAGTTGTAACTAACAATATAACAATTACACGAGCTAGACATATTGTGTCTGTAATGCTATACTGTGGAACATACCAGGCAAAGCAAAAGCAGCTCCATGGAGATGAGCAGCAATAAACAGACCCACGACCAGAAAAGTTACATAGTGATTCTTTAAAATAACTTACTGTGTAACATTCTTGAGAAAAAGACATTCAACATCAAGACTAACAACACACATTTTTGACACACATAAGTAGGGATGGTCTGGTCTGATGTGGATTTTTTTGAGTTGATACTGATATCTGATACTCAATAACCAATATTTGCCAATATTAACATTTTACAATACATAGAAAGACTAACAAATTTATGTTCAAGTGTTGTTTTCTGGTGGAGGGTCTGCCAACTGCTTGTTTCCATGGATTTGCGTTGCTTTGTCTGGAATTTTCTACAGCATTAAACATATCCTTTTCCAAAGAACAAGTGACACTACACTTCCAAGTCACATGGAGATCTGTGGAGAGGTGACTATCCCGACGGTGAGAATACATGTTTTTAAGGTATTCTTGAGCAGTAAAAATTCCTGTAATTTACTTAACATATAGATAGGTTTTATGGCATACTGTGGAACATTCCAGGCCAACGGTAACATCTCCATGGAGACAATTAGGTGGCTGACCCCTCTACCTGAAAAGTGCACATTCAAATTATAGTTAAGATCACAAATTCACTTTTAACAAATTGTATTTACCTTGAATATCAAATTATTTGTTGTATGATTGTTTAAATATATTTTTGCCTAATTGCTCTTACATTTCCATTTTTACGCATTAGTCCGTAAAAATATATATATCGGTGTCAAAATCTGCAAAATTTTCAATACTGAACAGATACTGGTATCTAGAAATCCCTCCAAATCACTGATATGGTAATGATATTGGAGCAGATGTAACGGCCTTCCTTACACAACACAAGACTGATGCAGCTGCCACGAGATAACCACAGAAGACAGTTGTAGCTTAAAGTGCATATGACTTAGTTGGTTTTCATGTTTTTCTAATTATTACTTTGTTTAGTGGGATAGCAGCACCTGGGGTAAATACTTCTCAAAGTTTTACATCAGTTATGTGGCAGTTTGTGGAGAGACATTGAGAAGAACAGTACAAAAATACAGGAAGTAGTGGTGTGAATACAGAGTAGGCCTAACTCTACTCATATCATCAACATGGAAAAAAAAACTGAGGGGGGTGGGTTAACTACGTTTTAATAAAAAAGTACCAGTCATATGCACTTTAATACAAAGGGCAGTGGATTTAAATGGAAGTATATTATCTGTGCAAATTACTGTGCATTTATATGTAGTTGTCATAAGACCTTCAAACAAATACTATGAAGTTTATAAGTGTTCAAAGTGTGGTCTATAATAGTACAAAATACCCAACAATCAAAGTAAATGATTGACATTATGAATCAAAATCAACATTAAAGCTGTCATGATCCCTGGAAAAGTATGAGAGCATAAAATAAAAACAAAAATAGCTATTCAAGTTAACTGGATTATGAATACTGAAGAGCCAAACAAATGAACATTACTTTAAGACGTTTTCATAAATGAGGATTTCAAACAAGTACAGTTAGTGTGTTTTATGTATTTAGTGAGTTGTTCTTTGTTACCCATATGTTTTTGTGTAATGTAAATGCAGTAATCCTCGAGATTTAAGGTTAATAACTTTAAGTAATTGTAATTTGATTTTCTACCATCAAAAACTTTCTGTATCAAACAGACTTGTAAATGAGCTGTACTATAACAGCAATATAATGTGATAAAATGTATGTTGTGTAATTTGTGGAAAAACAGTGAATCAGTTGGTACAGTTGTCACTGGAGGGTTGTTGGTTCAAATCCTCTTGTACCCAGCTAATGTTGTGCTTGTGCAATACAGGAATGTCTCTTCAGAAGTGTGTGGTCGGTGAGGCTGAGATGAGGCTCAGAGTAACTGCCACATCTTTGTCAGTCTGCCCCAGGGCAGAGTGTGACAAAGAAGTAACAGTTCCTTGCCATTATTTAAGTTTACTAATATCAGTCAACTGATACTTTCAACATGATTCTAGATAAAAGTTGTTCACACAGCTGTTATCAGTGAAATGACTGAATCATGTTTTCTGGAGCCCTAAACAGTGACACACCACAGTATGTAGTCATGTTTCAGGTGAAACACATTGGAAGCCACAGCTTTGAGAGAGCACAGGTTCACAGTGGAGCGGTCTCACAGTTAGCTTAGCGCTGTGTGGTCTGTGGAAGTATAATTGGTGTACAAGCAATGCCTGCAAAGGATTCTGGGAAGTGCAGGTCCCTCTCCCACTCCTCTGTGTCTGTGTTGAAGACCTGCACAATGCTCGTGACGTTGTTCAGGTGCCAGTTGTATCCTCCGATGATGTAGATCTTCTGGTCCAGGAGGCAGCAGCCAGCCTCAGACTGTCCCACCCTCATGGGGGTCAGGGTGGTCCACTGGTCATTATCAGGAGTGTAATACTCCACCGCCAGCACGTCAAAGCAGCGGTCCACATGGTCCATGCGTCCGCCCAGAGCGTACACGCGCTCTCTGGAGCTGATCATGGCATGCAGGACACGCGGCTCCGTCATGGGGGCCTTAAACTCCCACTGGTCAATCACCGGGTCATAGCAGTGCAGGGCTTTCTTATCCTCTAGAGACACTCCATAACCTCCAGAGACATAGAGTTTATCTGCACAGGTGGTCCCAGCATGTCCCCAGATCCTCCTCTTCAGTGGATCCACATTCGTCCACTCATTCTTCTTTGGGCAGTAGCACTCCACAGTGGACAGGCTCCCAGAGCGGTTACGCCCCCCGGTGGCATACAGCTTCCCATGCAGCACACTGAGCTGAAACTGGATGCGTGCCTCCTGCATGGACTGGATACGCAGCCACTGGTTCAAATGAGGGTCATATCTGAAGCAGCTCTCTACCGCCCCCTCTCCACTGCGGTACTGCAGGTGCTGCCCGCCCACCACATACACAAAGTTATCCAGCACGGCCACACAGGCGTGACTGCATCCACTTTCCATCTCCGTCAGCTCCTTAAACTGTCGCGCAGAGATGTCTGGGAGGTGATAGACTCTGGAGCTCACCGTGCGGTCATGGTCAGTGTAGGGTGTCCCTCCAAACGTGATCAAAGACACGACGTCGGAGCGGATCAGGGTTCGAGGGGACTGCATCTCGTGCTGCCTGAATGGAAGGATCTGGTAGTTAAAGGCTTCAAGGAGAAACTGCCGACACTGCACATCCTCCACCATGATGTCCACCTTCTGTACACTGTCCACCAGCTCAGAGGAACGCATCAGAGGAAATCGAACATGACACAGGACATCACTGGCATGAACACGCCGAGAATCATCAAACTGCAGCCACCTGATCGCCGCGTGAAACAAGTCTATCTCACTACAGTTCTTCAGCTTGTTGCTTTGAAGGAAGAAGACCAAACGCTCCATCGGAATGTGCAGAAAATCCTCCTGCTCGGAAATCTGCAGGAAGTGACGAAACGTAAAAGTATCCACGGACTCTTTAAGGGAAGACAGGCTGAAAGTAGTGGCCATTTGACCGATGTGTAAACAGGTCTCTACGCTCATGGCAGACTTCAGGAACTCCTCACAAAGTTCAACCACAGGGACCATCTGCAGGAACACAGCAGCTCCGAGCACGTCCTGTATACAGTCCAGGTCTAGAGTCACCTCCGAGCTGTAGGCAAAGTCTATAATATGTTTGAGGCCTCTTGCTGATAAGCCCTTCAGTTCTATGGTGTCCTGGTTTGACTCCCTCATGCCTCCAGTAAACATCGCTCTGTAATAAAGAACAAGGTCATTTCATTCATTAGGATCAATATTTGTGTTTCTATTTGATTCTCTTGACAAATTCACTGTATTAATTGCTGTGTCTAGGAATAATTGCACCGCTTTTTAGTGAACAGTTTCAAGGGCCAATATTACGCAGTTTTCTCATCTGTTATAATGTTTTCTCATCAACATAGATCCTGGAGTTTTGTTTTGTTTCATTCATACGTTTAACACACAAAAAAATGCATAATTAGGCTGAGTTCTTCTCTGAAAACGCAGACTTAAAGCTCACAAAGTCAAATTTAAAGATCTTTAAAAGCTCTTCTGGGGACTGGTATTGCGAATTAACCTAGGCTATAAACACTGATACCTGCATCGGATTACTGAATTGTTAATCTATATTTATTGTATCTGTCCCTATTCAAATAAATAATAAATAAATATATACATATATATAATGCCAGTGAAATGAATGAATTAAACTGAAACTGACAAAAAATATAATAGAAGACATAAGAATGGCTAGAATTTGTGCATAAGCAGGAAAAAAAAAAAAAAAAAGAAGAAAATCATTGGTCCAGAGAAGTGATTCCAACCTTAGCTTTTCATTGGGTCACTGAGATAAGGCAAGTTCAAACCAGGTTGTTATTTTCAGTAGTTTAAAGGGCCTGTACCAGATGTGTTTTTTCTCATGACCTTCAGCCAAGTCTTGTCTAGTTGAGATATATTGTATAAGCAGCTCTTGAGGTCAAAATAAGTCTGCTGTGTACTGTCTGTGTTTTATTTTCTGATTATCAAGTGTGCAATAACAGGCTAGCTGTTGGTGCTTTACTGTTATCCTCTAAAAGTTGTGAAAGGTGCTTACAAACTCATCAAGGTGAATAATAAGGATGCTCTGAATGCATTAGGTAAGTGAGGAATAACTTTGGACCACTGCAAACTGTCTCAAATGAACGTCTTTTCAAGTGTTAAGATGGTAAAAATCAGGCTTATAATTGAAAGAGCTTTACTGATATTTTATATATATATATATATATATATATATACTATATATATATATATATATATATATATATATATATATATATTTTTTTTTTTTTGTTTGGTTTTTTTTGTTTAGAAAGTCCTTCATACTACAGTAGTACTGCACTTTAAAGGGCCCATATTGCATAATTTTCTGATTTATGGCTGCGTTCAGACTGCAGCCTGAAGTGACCCAAATCCAATTTTTTCACCCCATGCTGTATCTGATCTTTTAATGACACAGATCCAATTTCTTCAAATACGACCCAGGCCACTTGGATATGTGTTCCTAAATCCAAAATCAATCTTCTGACATGTGACAGTCTTAACGGCCAGGTGACATTCATCCCACCTACACGTCAGGCTCAGAGTCTCATCAATGGAGGGAAAGCGAGGTTAGTGAGTTTATCAATATTTGTTGGGCTCACTGTATTCAGGCCAAACTGGAGGGGTTTTATCGGAACTGAGCAGTTTTTTAAATGATTGCCAAAGAAATGGCACAGGCGGTCCTGGCTCCAATGTCAACAAAAAATAAAGAGCCTGCGAGCCAAATACAAGGAGGCTAAACACTCAAACAAATGAAGGGCCGTGGACGTGTAACGCATCCATTTTACGAACAACTGGACCATATTTTGGGAGACAAGCCCAGCGTTTAGGCGACGTCTGTAAACACTGTGCACGCTCGGTGCACGTCACATGTCCTCCAGTTTGCATGTGGGACATTTTTGGAGCATTTAAAGTTCACATTGGAGATCACATACAAGTTGCATTTAATTGGTAATGTGAACAACATCACAAAAAAATCTGATTTCAAATAATCTGAACTGAGCATTAAGCCCTGCAGTCTGAACGTAGCCTATGTTGTTTCCTCATCCTAAACATACCTGGAGTTGTGTTTTGTTACATTTACACATGTTTAACACACAAACCTTGCAGATTTTGAGTTCTTCTCAGATACTTTAAAAACTGTTCCACATTGTGATGCCATGCTGTGACACAGGAAGTGCTCCTCTGTGTTTTTAAATTCCATACACCTTCACAAGAATCATTTGGATGATTCAGCTCTGGATTTAAATCTCTATTGACCAAGATAAAAGGTAGCTGTTAACTTGAAAACTACCACTTCATGACATCACAAGTTGGAACAGAGCATTTTGAGCTTTGAACATGCAGACAGACTAATAATAAAGGATTAGTCAAACATGTGTGAATGAAATAAAACCCAACTCCAGGTCTGCTTTTGATGAGGTAACAATATTCTAACATGGCTTGAAGCTCACAAGAGTCTATTTTGTGTAATATCGGACCTGTAACCATCAGACCGACCTGAAGTAGTCGCTGCAGGAGGCAAGTACAGCCTTGTGGACATGGAAGCGCTCGTCATTTATGGACAGCTCCACGTCCAGCAGTTGTCCCCTGGCCCTGAGCAGAGACAGGCCCTGGAGGAGGCAGGTGCTGTGGCTGGGGGCGGAGAAGGTACAGCGCAGCGTACGGTTCTTGTTAGCCATACTGCAACAGCACAGAAAGACCAGGTTACACAAAGCAATATGATACCACGTTTGTAACCCTCCACACTCAATATCAAGTTCTGGGTTCAAATGACAACACATCACAACATTGTATACGCCAATGATATTTAAAGGACCCATATTACGCTGTTTTCTCATCTATGTGATGTTGTTGTTTCCTCATCACAAACAGACGTAGAGTTGTCTTTTGTTTCATTAACACATATTTAAAGTTCAGAGTTTTACTGGTGATGTCATGTGGTAATAAAGGGAGTGCTCCATTGTGCTTTTAAACTCCATACACTTTCGGTAGAATCATTTGGATGCTTCTGAAATTAATGATCTCTACTGAACTAAATGACTACATGACATCACAAGGTGCAATAGAGCATTCTGAGCTTTGGAGATGAAGACAGACAAATAAACCAGGATTACTCAAACATGTATGAATGAAACAAAACACAACTCTAGGTATGTTTTTGAGGAGGTAAATAGGGCAGTCGTGGTTAGGTAATTTTTCCTGTGGTGCGGTACAGCGGCTCAACAGCGCGGCATGCAGTGATATCGCACCCTCACCCCACCCCACATACCCTGGACTTATAATATTTCAAGCGGCACTGAAAACTCATCTCTCCAATGATGCACTTGTTCCACAGATGCAAATGTACCTTGTTTGTCTGTGGATATAGCGTGTAGCGTGTGTGGGAGAAGTAACAATTGGCTTTGGAACAAGTGCTGCTGCATCTCTCCAGCTCTCACTGTGGCAGCTCGGGTCAGAGTCCTGCACCAGGTCGGGCACCCGTGGACTAAGAGATAGAGAACCACGAGCACGAGCACACGGAGCAGGTGTCCACAAAGCGTGAATCTAACTCTGTGCGGCGTGGAGCTCTGCAGTGGTCCTTTCGCCTGCGGTCACCCGATGGTCTACGTGGGTGCACCTTCGTCCTGGGTCAGTCCTGGGTCAGTCCTGGGTCAGTCGGTAATGGGTGGAATGTTAACGGGTCCAGGCGGGTGCGCGCCTCTACGAATGGACCCATGCAGGACTCTGGGTTGGGTCACATTGGTCAAGTACAGTGATCGCGGTGGACCTCTTAGTACCTCGGTGATTCATTTTTGCGGTCATTGCGACAGTCCTAGAGGTAACGTTATATCATGACTTAAAGCTCACAGCAGTCAATGTTATGTAATGTAGGACCTTTAACACAGAGGACGGTTCAGGGAGTAAAGTTCTCATTAATTTTACCCACAGACTTTATGAAAAATATATATACATATTATAAAAAGGGCAAATCAGGTATGTGGTAATTAAGGACCTGTTTGTGAAACTTTATAAACCTCAAAGTTATTAAAACATTTCCCCGAATCTTGTGTTTTAAACATGATTTTTGGACATAAAACAACAATAAGACTATAGGAAAAATGAATGGAAGTGGATTTTAAAATGGGTGAGACTTTGGAGATCCACTTAAAAGCTTCCAGTCTTTTATTTAGATCATAATGTATTCAAAAAGTGTCAATGTGCAATCAGAATTATCATTTGACTTGTATACTAATTAAAACAACTACTAAAATCTGAATTTCCTTCTGGATCAATAAAATATCGACTATATAATGAGTTTTGATAATATTTTTAGTACTGCGGTGTTGCTAGTAGTTACAGATTTGACAATAGGGAAATTCTAACTCTGAAAACTTCTGGAATATGTAGTAAATTTTTTCTCAAGCACATTTGTTAATCACTAATCTGCATGGAAACAGACACTTTATCTATCTATCTAATAAAATAATCATTAGTTGCAGCTCTATACTGTAATTTCAAATAGTTTTGAATTATAAATAACAATATTCTAATTTTGCGGATTTCAAGAACAATTGCGAGATCCATTTTCCCACCTCTTGTGAATGAAAGGCTAACGGACGCAGACCACTGAGACAGGAAACCATTAATGGACATGTAATCTAATGGCACCGTAATGGAGTTTACAGTGTTTTTGCATTAGCGCTCTCTCCACAAATGAGAAAACCATTTAGTCTCATGATTTCAGCCATGTTGTGTTGACGACCTTCAAGAAAAGCGAAGATGAGCAAATGCACTACTTAAAATGAGACTGAATCTTTGCGCAGCAGCTTAGTGTACTTAGTGTTTTGTTTTACTAAAAGAAAATGAACGCTGAGGATTTTGAAATAATGACATTTGGGTTAAAGGTGCATTGTGTAACTTTTCCGGGGGGAGGGTCCGTCAAATGCTTTTCTCCGTGGAGATGTTATTGCTTTGTCTGGAATGTTTCACAGTATGGTATTAAACCTTTCTATCTCCATGGAGACCAAACCAGACCAAGTTACAGGTCAGATCTGTGGAGAATTATTGTTTTTCTACAGATTTTTGAGCTATAAAAATGTAAAGTAGAGCAGTTTAATGTCATACTGTGGAACATTCCAGGTAGAGCAATGACATCTCTCTAGAAACAAGCAGGTGACGAACGAAAGTAACACCTACTTGTCTCCATGGGGATGCTATTGCTTTGTCTTAAATGTACCATGGTATGGCATTAAATTGTAACTCCATCAACACAAGCTGACACAAACAGATTAAGTTACAGGTGAGATAACAGCAAAAATGCATGTTTTCAACAGATTTTTTAGCAATATAACACCTATAACTGAATACATGTAATGGAACATTCCAGACAAAGCATTAAGATCTCCATGGAGACAAACAGCTGGAGGACATCCCACCAGAAAAGTTACACAATACACCTTTAACGCTTTGTAGTGTAGTATACTTTGCATACTTTTATGTTTTTATCAAGTCAAAAAAAAGCAATGTAATTTGTTATACTAATTATTATTACAGCAAGCAGAATGAATTTGTTTGCAAGGAACTATAAGCTATATTAGGGTGACAAGAATTTCAAAATAAAATACTAGGACATCTGTTTTTTGTTTTTGTTTTTTTTTTGGTGGTGGTATAGGGTGACCAGACATCTCTATTTAGTTCCTAGAAAGGTTTTCATTCCACACTCTTCTCTCTAATCTATGTAATTAATGTATCTCTCTTTTTAATTTTAATTTTATGATGATTATTTATATTTTGATTTGTTTATATTGTGATTTTAATGTTTTTCTTATTCTGCGAAGTACTTTGTGTACGAATTGTGCTATACAAATAAACTTGCCTTTTCCTATTTACTTGGGACAGTCCCAGTTTTGAGCCCTGTGTCCCAGCACATTTATGCAAAACCAGTGATTTGTCCCAGTTTTATACAAGAAATGTCCCAGGTGTCCCGATTTTTTACCAATTTGATCCCTGCCAACAGTGAAGAGAGGCGTATATTGCCACTTGTTTAGGTACAATGCAGAAAAACTGCTTAAAAATGACAACGAAAATGTGACTATACTGACTCACATGTTAGTCATGAAAAATTCTCAAATAAAAATTCTCCTTAATTATGCACTTGTTTCACGATTTTATTAATACCAAGCACCACAAACCAAGAGTATCCCAGTTTTTGATTTTGAAATCTGGTCACCCCAGGTTGGTAATAATAAAATTGTGAAACGTGTGCGTAATTATTAAGGAAAATTGTTATGCGACCATTCATGACTAACATGTGAGTCAGTATAGTCACATTTTCTTTGTTTGTTTGGTCGTTTTTAAGCAATTTTTTGTCTTTTACTTAAACAAATGACAGTTTATGCCTCTCTTTATTGTTGGCAGGTATCAGATTGGTCCAAAATAGGCACACCTGGGACATTTCTTGTATAAAACTAGGACAAATCAATGGTTTTGGATAAATCTGCTGGGACAGGGGACACTGTGCTCAAAACTAGGACTGTCCCAGGTAAATAGGGAAGGCTGGTCACCGTGAGCTATATGGTAATTTGCGTTTAGCCACGTGTTTGACCACAGTGGCAACATGCACTGAAGCTGAAATAACTTCATTTAAAACATTTAGATTGTATCACTGGGGATCGGCTGCAGCTAAAACATGTCCGGAGGCCCAGACTGGTCCACGGCGTTGCTTGAGCACTAAACACCGCAATGCACGTCCTTAAAGAGGTAAGACATGGCAAAAAATGAACCCAAAGAGAAAAGCTGCAATGCATTCACAGGTAAATGCTAACACAATGCTAAAAGACGCTAAAGCGCAGAGCAGCGGCGACTCCTCCGCTGCTTCCCCGCTTCTCCACTCACCTGTTCGGGGAAAGTATCGTCGCAAAATCCCCACCACCATCCGACTCCGCCATCTTCTAGCCCCGGGTAACGTGCATATAGCATTTTTATGATTTACAAACAAGTTAAGAGCCAAATCGGCATGTTCATGGTGTTTAAAAAAGCTCGAAAATGTCTTAATTTAGGCTCTAGTTGCAGCAGAGACGCGGCGCACGGAGGTAAACACGAGAAGCGGTGAGCTGTCACACCGGGAGCTGTTTGTGCGAGCGCAGCTGCGTTTACACGGTCTGACCGCAAGGTGGAGACAAATCTGCGCATTCAACACGGAGCTGCCCTGTCTGTGACCTTAATACACACTCTGGTCCATAGAGCTTTTAACTCTGGTCCAGTTATCCAGCGTTTTTAATAGATCCATGGTAAAATATGAGCAGTGTTGGGAAGATTACTTTTAAAATGTATTCCCCTACAGATTACAGATTACATACCCCAAACTGTAGTTTGTAATGGAATCCATAAAATTACTTAATGTGAGTAACGTAATCTGAATACTTTGGATTACTTGATATCGCCATGCTTTTTAAAACTACATGAATGTAGCGACCACATCCTGAAAATTCTTGGTTGTTTTCTTCAAATTGGCTGAGCCCAAGTCTCCATGAACAGGCAACTGTTTGCTGTAGAGAAGCAAAGACGAGGATCTTAACATAAGAAGTTTTGTTTTGTCTGCTTTAAGAAAATAAAAAGCCCAGTCTTTCCTTAACCAAATTAAAACTATTGATAGAGAAATAATTTTTATATGAGATCACTGCTGCTTTAAATTATGTCCACCTACTGTTAGTGCCATATTGTTTAGACCTGGTTTAGTCCTGGTTTTAGTTCTAGTTTTTGTTCTGGTTTAGTCCTGGATTTAGACCTGGTTTTAGTTCTGGTTTAGTCCTGGTTTTAGTCCTAGTCTAGTCCTGGTTTTAGTCCTGGTTTAGTCCTGGTTTTAGTCCTAGTCTAGTCCTGGTTTTAGTTCTGGTTTAGTCCTGGTTTTAGTTCTGGTTTAGACCTGGTTTTAGTCCTGGTTTTAGTTCTGGTTTAGTCCTGGTTTAGTTCTGTTTTAGTCCTGGTTTAATCCTGGTTTTAGGCCTGTTTTAGTCCTGTTTTAGTTCTGGTTTAGTCCTGGTTTAGTCCTGGTTTTAGGCCTGGTTTTAGTCCTGGTTTTAGTTCTGGTTTAGTCCTGGTTTAGTCCTGTTTTAGTCCTGGTTTAATCCTGGTTTAGTGCTGGTTTTAGTCCTGCTTTAGTCCTGTTTTAGTTCTGGTTTAGTTCTGGTTTAGTTCTGGTTTAGTCCTGGTTTAGTCCTGGTTTAGTCCAGGTTTTAGTTCTTGTTTTAGTCCTGGTTTAGCCCTAAATGTGAAAACAGGAACGTACCACCATGTAATCCATTTATTTCAACAAAGTAACTGTAATCCAATTACCACTCACTGAAACAGTAACTGTAACTGAATACAGTTACTCATAATTTGTACTTTGATTATGTAACTCCGGTACATGTAATCTGTTACTCCTCAACATTGAATATGAGTAGTATGGAAACAGTTTTAAGATAAGATCATCATTTATTGTATTCAATGTTGGAAACTTGTTATGGGGCTGAGTGCTGCAACATAAACATTAATACAAAAAATATATATAATAATAATAATTATAATAAAAATAATATAAAGGTTGCTAGTTGAGAATGTATGTAATAATAATAAGAATAATAAGAATAATATTTAGTTATGCATTATGTGAGCATTTTATTTTATGTTTTTATTTTATTTATTTTTTTAAAGATTTTACATTTTGTTTACATGATCATGGTAAGCAAGGAACCACTCACCCATTTATACACACATTCATACAGCGGTGTACTCAGACACTGGGAGTGAGGAGGGTTAAGAGTCTTGCCCAAGGACACAACAACAGCATTCATCTGTGGGAGCCCTTTAAACAAAAGTGTCTTAATTGAGAATTTACACTATATCTTCAGAGTGAAACAAAAAAGTATGGTATTTGATTATGTATAAATGTTATATCTTCTTCTAATGCTTGGTACTAGATGAACTCTACTTCCTGTCATTTTAAACCTATTTTTCAACTTTTCTTCACAAATTCAATTAATCAAACTTTATTTATAAAGTGCTTTTTACTCAAAAATATAACACAAAGTACTTTACAGTGAAAACAATCTCACATTTCCTTTCACCCGCCCACCCAAACCCCACAGCTGCACGACTCGACACAACCAAACGACAGACAGACACGCACACCCACCCACTCGGACATACTAAAATATATAAAACTACGTATAGTAAAAACTGCTACTTGATTGGTGTAAAACTTTAATTCATATTTACACCAGGTATAATCTCATCAAATTAAGTAAAAATTAATTGAATCATCAAAATCTGTTATACGGACTTTAACTTCTAAGATCAGCATTTTCTGGTTGATTTAAAACTTTGTTCTTTTGTCAGAGTTGAAAGGGCAGCACAGAGTCACACTGAGACCACAAGAACCATCTGTACAGCAGTTTTATTATGAAAACCTTTTATTTAGTGCTGTTTATCTGTTCACAGTAGCACATGTTTAGTTGTTTACCATTCCACTTTGTGTCAGTTATACAGTGTAGGTGGGTTCAGTAGTTTCATTGGCATCACAAAAATCACAACAGTCAAAAAACCCAAATACTGAATACATTTTGTGCTTGTCTCCATGGAGATGTTATTGCTTTGCCTGGAATGTTCCATGGTATGACATAAAACACATCTATCTAGCATTTATTCTATTGCTCAAAAATACAATAATAGGGGTGACTCTCCACAGATCTGACTTGTAATGTAGACTAGAGTTGTCTCCCTTAAGATAGATAGCTTTAATCTCTACTGTGAAACATTCTAGACAAAGCAATAACATCATGAAAGCAAAAAGGTGACCCTCCACCAGAAAAGTTGCATAATGCACCTTTAATGGTTATGCCCTTTGTTCACAGTAGGTCATGTAATCATTTATATTCATGTATTCTTAAAGGTGCACTATATAACTCACTAAGTCATGTTATAGGTCAGATATGTGGAGAGGTGACTCAGATATTTCTGAGCAATAAAAACCCACGTACTATACAGAAAAACTCCTAAAGTGAGAGTTGTGAGGCATGATTTATATGATTTCAAAATATAGTTTACATATTCTGGCACAATATTTAAAGGAACTATATAGATGCATCAAGAATCTCGGACTTCCGGTCATTGCGCAGTGCATACTGGGAAGGATTTTACGAAAAAGTGAGCATCAAACTGCCATGTTTGATTTCCCAGTGGAATTGTCTATTGACAAAGCCGATCTTTTCAAGTCTTTTGAACCATATCACTTTTGTTTCTGGTTCTCATATTGTCATATTTTAGTTTTGGGATTCGGACGTCGTAATTATGTGGTTGTTGGATCCAAACGGCGTAAAACGGCTCGAGAAGTTTGTTTGCGAACTCCATAAAGCAAAAGGGAATCAGATTTGTGTGACTGCAAACCTCTGTTCAAACTGTTTCCCTTCCCAGCGGAATTGAAAAATAGTGAAAGGCAAAGGCGATGGGCAGTACTGATCCAGAGGATGGACGAAAAAGGATACCACTGACTGCCTAAGAAATCATCCTGAGTTTGCAGTGAACATTTGGGGTGTGCAGCGCCATCAAAGCAAAATACCGATCCCTCGTTCAACCTCGGTTACGAATTAAAAAAGTCAATGCCAAAGCAAAAGGCACCAACTGTTCATCAAGAAACAACTTCCACTGCAAAGCAACCAAGACGTGATGTTGCTGTAAAGTCACAAGAACAAGAAAGTGCAATCCTTTTTTGTCCTTCCTGTAGGTCAATAATGCCCAGGTTTGCAGTCACACACATCTGATTCCCTTTTGCATCTATGGAGTTTGCAAACAAATTTCTCGAGCTGTTTTCCGCTGTTAGGATCCAACAACCACACAATTAACAATGTCCGAATCCCAAAACTAAAATCTGACAATATCAGAACCAAAAACAAAAGTGATATGGTTCAAAAGACTAGAAAAGATTGACTTTGTCAATAGGCGCATCCCACTTGGAAATCAAACAAGGCGGTTTGATGCTCACTTTTTCAGAAAATCCTTCCCAATATGCACTGCGCAATGACTGGAAGTCCAAGATTCTTGATACATCTATTGCGCAAAAATAACTTTTGTGAGCTTTAAGTCATGTTATAATGTTGTTTCCTCATCAGAAACATACCTGAAATTGTGTTTTGTTTCATTCACACATGTTTGAATAATCCTTTATTATTAGTCTGTTTACATCTCCAAAGCTCAAAATGCTCTGTTCTACCTTGTGATGTCATCATGAAGCGGTAGTTTCAAAGTGAACCTTTTTACCTTTTATGATTTCTCATCCAAATGATTCTAGTGAAGGTGTATGGAATTTAAAAACACAGTGGAGCACTTCCTGTATTATCATATGATGTCACAAGGTGGAACAGAGTGCTAAATATGCAGGTTTGTGTGTAAAACATTATTATATATATATATATATATATATATATATATATATATATATATATATATATATATATATATATATATATATATATATATATACACACATCCAGGAGTTAACTGCAATCAGCATTCACATCAAATACCAGTCCATTCCTGTAAATAAGTAGAGCAATCTCAGTCTGAATTTGCTCTGGATCAGTCATCTCTTCTTCTGTGGCATCATTTCGAGTTTGCTCATTGTCTTCACTTCCTGTTTGTGATCTCCTGTCCTCTTCCTCATCTCCCCCCTCCTCTGTCATGTGTGAGGGGGCTATTGTTATAGTCCTGATGAGAGTGCAGTTCTTCTCTGTCTCCTCCAGGAGGCAGCACTCAGAGTGATTCTGGACTAGGATCACTTTGTCCACCAACTCCTTCCTCTCCAACAGGTCCTGGGACAATGCAAGATTTGTTCAGTTACTGCTGCTTTAGTGAGTACATCTGACTGTAAAATCCATCTTGTACGGTTACAGACCGATTCATTTGAGTCTACACACCGTTTATATAGCAGATAGTCAAAAGCAGTATAATAAGAGGGGGCATAAGGCAAAATCAACTTTTTGGAGACTTCTACCATGTTATAACGTTGTTCAATTATCAAAAAACATGCCTTTAGATGTTATCCATGCATGTTTGATTAATTTAGTGATCTCTCCTGGGCCCTCTTCAGACCCTCCTTACAGTTAGTAATACCCTCCGTGCAAAACCAGAAGAAGTTTGGAAACATGCAGATGATGATTTCCTTTGGGCTCTATTGGCGATACCGTATTTTCTGGACTATAAGTCACACTTTTTTTCATGGTTTGGGTGGTCCTGCGACTTATATACCGTATTTTCCGCACTGCAGGGCGCTCTGGATTATAAGGCGCACTATCATTGAATGGTCTATTTTTGAACTGTTTTAACATATAAACCACACCGGACTATAAGGCGCATTAAACGAAACACAACAGTTAGATAAGTCAGTCAAACTTTATTTAACGCACTGAGGGCTGTATCAAGTGGTTTTTTGAATATTGTTTAATGAAGTTATACATTGAGTTGAACATTGTTTAATGTTTAAAGGTAATACTCTGTGTGTCCTAAATAATGGGAAACAGATATGCTTTTAGGGACATTCCTTTGCAGATAAGGCTTTGGGGATAACCCAGGCTGGCGTTATCTAAACAGACTTGGTGGTGATTTACAATGGTTTGGTGGGGATTGTCACTTCCTCCAAAGAAGAAGGAAAGATGCTTCAAGGACGATGTAAGGCGTTACCTGCTCAACATATTATTTGCATATTCATACTGTTGTTTAAATGTTGAGGGAAACTCAGGCGTTCAGATCGCCTGATGTAAGTCCTGTGTAGAATTGTATTGGACAGGGAATACATTTTTGTCATTTAAATTTAGTCTAGTCATTTTTGATAGAACACGCCTAACACCGTTCACAAAAACTCTTAACTTTATTCAATTGTAAATGCCTAAAAAAATACTGTCTGAGATGTTAAATTGTTAGCGTATTCACAATAACTCATAATTGTTCAAACAGTTGGGCGATTACGGCGTCCAGCACGCCCGCGTCCCTCTCGTCATTATCTGAGTCAGTGTCATTACTGTTACCTGGTAGTTCAGTGATGATGTCGGTCTTGGTGAAAGCTCGGACCGCAGTTGATCCTTCGCACAGGTGTCCATGATCCACTGGCAGATAGTGGTGCAAGTCGCTCGGGGCTGTGGTGTCACCTGGACCTCAGCTGGCGTGCTGCTGAACCCGGTGATCACTGGGGTCGGCACTGGAGGAAAGACCTGGTTTTTGATTCTATTTAAAAACAGTAAAACGTTTTATCAGCATCAAATTTCACAAAAATTTACATTAACAATTAACTAACACTATCTCCCTTTTCCATATATTTTCCAATTAAAATGCATTTTCACCATGTAGCTGAATCTTCTAATCATTCAAATCTGGGCCTTCCCTCTGTATGTAGCAATAGTTTACAACACTTTTGCACTGAAGAGGGCAATAATGAGAAAAATGAACATATGTTTTGATCTGTATTCATAATATAAGCTATTTTTTATCAGTGTTATATATAATGTTGTTTCCTTATCACAAACCTGAAGTTGTGGTTTGTTTCATTCACACATTTAACACACAAACCCTGCAGATTTCGACTGAGTTCTTCTCTCAAACTCAAAACACTCCTTGTGATGTCATTGAGTGGTGGTACAGGAAGCCAGAGGTGGGGACTTGCAAATCGTGAAATGGACTTGAGTCACTATTTTTAGGACTTGAAACTTGACTTTTCTTAAGTATAATTTATCTTAAAATTCATATAAATGGCAAAAATCTAAGCTATATTTGGTGCTTTGGTTTAAAGACTTGAAATGACTTGAAGCTCAAAGCAGACGACTTGGACTTGACTAGGACTTATGGGCCAGTGACTTGAGACTCAACTTGGACTTGCCTATATTTGACTTGGGACTTGACTCGGACTTGAGGTCTAAGACTTGATACTTACTAGAGACTTGCAAAACAACAACTTAGTCCCACCTGTGCAGGAAGCGTTCCACTGTGTTTTTAAACTCCATAAACCTTCACAAGAATCATTCAGATGTTGGAGCTTTTCTGTGGCAATCTCAGCTGAACAAAAGGTAAAACTGAAGTATCTTTTTTTAATCTGTTAACTTTTATAACTACAGTTTGATGACATCACAAGGTAGAACAGAACATTTTTAGCTTTGGAAATATAGACACTCTAATAATGTAGGATTACTCAAGCGTGTGTGAATGAAACAAAACACAACTCCAGGTCTGTTTTTGAGGAGGTAACAACATTATAACATGACTTAAAGGTCACAAGAGTCAATTTTGTGTAATACAGAAACTTTAAACATGCCTCAAAATGTCAAGGTTGAGTTTCAAGTACAGTAAAAAACATAAATGAACTTTAAATTCAACTTCAAAAATGCAGAAATGTCACTTTAAACCAGAAGACACTCTGACACACTGCAAGTTTGTTTTATTTTAATTTACACTTATGATAGTTTAGATAAATAAATACAGATAAATACAAATTAGAATCTCATGAAAAAGTTCTTTAGTTGTGGTCTGTGTATCGAAAAATATATTGAATGATCAATAAATAGTCTGAGATAGAGAGATGGATAGATGACTTGATTATAGATACTAGTTCTAAAGTGTTTAATTATTCCATTCATTTATTCCAGATCATTCTTTTAACAATATTTTATATTTAGAAACGTTTTCTGAGGTTGTTCTCCTGCTTTATGGTTCATTTGTTTAAGACATAAAGTAGTTTCAGTATTATTGTTTAAAGGAGATATTTTTAAAGATGCACTATGTAACTTTTTGGTTGGGGGTCCACCTGCAATGTTCCACAGCATGACATAAAACAGCTCTACTTTGCATTTATTCAATCACAGGTGGTTTTATAGCTTAAAGGGACAGTCCGAAATTTTGGACATAGGGCCTCATTTCCTAGTGAGCCAGAGTGTTGGAGACGTGTGGAGACACTTTTTAATATATTCCATCCAGTCCTTGTATTTGCAGAGGTCACTGGTGCTAGGCTAGTGCATGTCAATGGCCATAGTTATACTGCCACTAAAAACAGTTTTACCCACTCCACAAAACACCCGAAGAAAATCTATTATTACGCCAGACTGTCCATGTGAATGTCTGAGTTGATAGAATAATGTTTGAAATAAAACTAACCTTGCATCGCTTGAGTCGTCGCATGTTGAGGGACTATTTTCTCATATATCAGTCCGCCGCTGCCAAACTTTCTATCAGGAAGTAAAACTCACTGCTGCTGCTCACACATAAATCCTTCAAATGCAATTGTCAGAGCTAGGATATTACCGGTGGCAGACCTTTTCCCCCGAGTAGTTACGTTTTGAAGGAGTGTGGTCTGCTACTTTTTTGTGTCCTGTTTTGTTTGGGTTTAGTATTTTGTTTTAGTGTTAGTTTACTGTTTTTGGTTTTACTGTTTTGATTGCATGGCAGCACTTTCTGTTTTGTTCTGGGTGGGGCTGCCCCCTCTCAAGTCATTCTTGTTTGGTTTATTTGTAACATTTATTTCTGTTTGTTGCAGAATTGATTCTTCTGCCCAGGGGCTGCAATGTTTTATCTTTATTTTAGTATATTTTATGAATCTTGGCCATTTTATTATTTTAACAATCTGCCTGGCTCCCTTTTTATAGAATAAATAATTTTACCTTTTTACTTGCCCCTTTTTTAGTGTTTTATACATTTTAAGTCACATCTCTGTCACGTCTTATTTTACATACTTACCTGTGGCCTTAGTTATTTTATGCATTGTATTTATTTATTTATATATTTTATTGCAATGAAAGGGTACCTAATGTCACACAAGGTTGGTTTTACTTCTAAAATGATTCTGTCAACACAGACATCTACATCAACAGTCTGGTGTAATAATAGTTTTGCGTCGGGTGTTTTGTGGAGTGGGTAGTGGGTGTTTTTAGTGGCAGGCTAAATATGGCCATTGACTTGCACTAGCCTAGCACGAGCGACCTCTGCAAATACAAGTGTCAAATGTGAGAAGAGCCCTTGTTTTTTTAATCTGTATGTATTTTATTTGCGGTAATTTTATTTGCGGTGATTTTAGTGTTGTGTTTTTTATACTGGAGTGAAAGACTGGGTGGACTAAACTAATTGAACATTCCCTCCCACCCAATATTATTGGCTGTGGCCGTAGCAGCAGGGACTTGAAAAGACAGAGGGCATGAGTGGGGAGCAGACCTGGGGTGTGCACGCGTGACACCGAAACCGGAAGAGACGGGGCAAGACAGATGCAGGAGCGGGAACGCAAACGTGGACAGGTGGTGCAGCGGGAACGGGCGAAGCTGGACCAGCTGGACCAGGCAGAGGAATGCGCCGACAAGGACAGATACAATGCCTAAAAAGAGCTAAGTAGAGGGATGTATCTGGGGGACCTTGTGGGAATGCGGGAGGCCGGACAGTAGATCGCACCGTAGAGTTAAGTAGCACTCTGTTTCCGCAGCGGCTCTGGAGCCGGAGGACCCATGGCGGAGCGGAGGCGGAGGCCTGGACGCGGAGGCCCGGATGCGGGGTGACGTGGCGGCCCTAATTACCTGCATGAACGAGCTAAGTAAATGGACGTCACTCGGTCAATCCTGATGTGCAGTGTGACTAATCAAATGCAGTCCTTGCCGTAGTCTGAAAGACTATCCTGTTTTACAGACAACTATGTGGCGTGGCGGTGAAGGGACCAGAGGGACTCAAACAGTGACTGCACCACCTGACTCATTTTTAATTCTGATTTTAGCCGAATCAGATCTTTTTTTAATATATAATTTTTTTATTATATTGTTTTTTAGGATTCTTTTTTATTCATTTTACAGTCATTTTTATTCTCATTTTAAACCTTGTGCTTCATTGAATAAACTTTTACTGACTGCATATCCGCCCATTTTTTTTCCAAACAGTTTGGTAGACCTAAAGAATCTGACACAAGGACTGGATGGAATATTTAAAAAAGTATCTCCACACGTCTCCAACACTCTGGCTCACTAGGAAATGAGGTCCTGTGTCCAAAATTCCCGACTGCCCCTTTAAAAATACCTAGAAAAACAGACATTCTGACTGTGAGCGGGGTCGCCTCTCCACAGATCTGACCTGTAACTTGGCCTGTTTGATCTCTATGATGATAGAAAAGTTTAATGTCATACTGTGAAACATTCCAGACAAAGCTATAACCATAAACTCCATGGAGAAAAGCATTTGGCAAAGCTTCCACCAGAAAAGTTACACAATGCACTTCTAAGTAGCAATAAATCACACTTCGAAGTTCGTTCTGGTTATCACTTACCTTGTGAAAATGAAACTACAGGATGTTGAGAGGACAAAGAAACCAATCAGCAACCCAAAAGTGACCCACACTGTAAACAGACACAAGCAAAATCAAGTTATCAGTCAGTTCGCAAACCTTATACAACAGTGTGAACTGATACTTTTGCAGGCACATTGTGTAACTTTTCTGCTGGAGGGTCCGTCAAATGCTTTTCTCCATGGAGATGTTATTGCTTTGTCTGGAATGTTTCACAGTATGGCATTAAACCTTTCTATCTTCATGGACACCAAAACAGACCAAGTTACAAGTCAGATCTGTGGAGAGGCGACCCCGCTCACAGTCTGAGCACCTGTTTTTCTAGGTATTTTTGAGCTATAAAACCACTTGTAATTGAATAAATGTAAGGTAAAGCTGTTTAATGTCACACTGTGGAACATTCCAGACAGAGCAATCACATCTCCATAGAAACAAGCAGGTGAAAGAAAAGATACTGTAAATTCTGGACTAGAAGCCGCTTCTTTTTTGATGCAGCAAATATATGGACAGATTCTTTGTTTGGCACATTGTCTATTCATATATACGGTCTATGGTTTGGAAACACAGAGGACACGCACAGCCTGAGTGCAGAAAACGCCGCTGTCTGTGCGGGAAACACATGGATTTAGGGTTAACATGAAGTTGCTAAACTAGCGCACTCAAATATTTCATCGCCGTATTATAGAATAAGTTAATTATAAGTTAGTTATAATTAGTGAGAGGGATACATTGTACCCATATGCATAAATGATGAGAAGAAATGTCTCAAACTTCAGTAGCCGCACATCCACTTATACCTGATTGATAGAACAAGCCCCGCCCCCATCTAAAATCTGCTGCTCGTTTGATTGTCTTTTGAACAGTCATTTTGCGCCTCATACATACACCCTCCTCATGCAAAACACAGAAAGAAATGCAGATGATGCAGCTTTTAAGTTAAAGGCAATTGATGTGGCTGTGGTAGAAGGAAACAGAGCTGATGCACGTGAGCTCCACATCAAAGAGTTGATTCTGAGATTTTGACGACAGCAGCGTGATGAACTGTCTCAATGCAAAAAGACGACAAAAGCTTTCAGAGGCGATAAAAGCAGACGAACTGAACTTGAAAACATTCTTTAAGATGTGGACACCTGCGGCTTATATTCAGGTGCGTCCTATATATGTACAGTTTTAAAATTTTGTTAACCCTCTCAGGCTCAAATTAATTTTTATTATCAGGAAAAATCTGATATTTGGGGAAAATTATAATATGGGGTAGTAATATACAATTCTGATTTTTTTAATCCTTTGTAAACAAAAAAAGTATTTTGCCCTTCTGGCAGGTCGTTTGCATGTAGCCGTTCTTGCACAGTCTGCATCGCACACGTTTATCAGCATGGATGGGAGAAAAGGCTCCTGAGTAAAAAAAGCTCATATAATATGGATGTGGAGTAAGTAGGTACTTGGAATTTTGCTGTTGCAAATCTGCAACGCCTGCCTGGAGAGGGTTAAAATATAGTTGATGCGGCTTATATTCAGGTGCGGCCTATATATTTACACTTTTAAAATTTGGTTAAAATTTTGTTGATGCGGCTTATATTCAGGTGCACTCAATAGTCCGGAAAATACAGTACACAACACACCTTTAATTTGATCTGAATTAATACTTTGCATCTGATGTCAGTAACATTCCCTGGGGGTGTGACGCTAACTGTGGGCACTGCTCTGTCTGAAGTTCTGTTACTCAAGTTAGACTTCAATCTGAGCTTTGTTTTAACGCACACTGACTATAAAGAACTGACTTAGCTGAAACGATAACAGGTGAGTTGATTTGTGCTGTTTAGAAGGTCCCAGTCACAAGATAGCAATCATTAAAGGTGCAATGCGCAACTTTTCTGGAGGAGGGTCCATCATCTGTTTGTCTCCATGGAGATGTTATTGCTTTTCCTGGAATGTTCCATGGCATGACATCCATATCCATCTAACATTTATTCATCACTGGTGTTTCTATTGCTCAGAAATAAAATCATTTTTTCTGTGAATAGGGTTGCCTCTCCACAGATCTGACCTGTAATGTAGCCTCTAGTTGTCTCACTTGAGTTAGATAGGTTTAATCTCTACTGTGGAATATTCTAGACAAAACATCTCCATGGAGACAAGCATGTATCAGACCCTCCATCAGAAAAGTTGCGCGGTGCCCCTTTAAGGAACCATTCAAAAGAGCTGATTCATTCACAAATGTCACATCATTTTGCTTGTCCCCAGCTCAGTTTTAGACTACAGGGTCAGTACCATGCGTTGATGTGTCCTGTTTTACCGAGATAGGGTTTGCCGGGCGGCGTGTTGATGATGACTCTGGCTTTGGGCCCCTCCCCCTTCTCAGTGACTCCTGCCAGACTGATGTTGTACTTGGTGCCAGGCTTCAGATCCTTCAGAGTGTAGCTGCTCAGAGAGGGTTTGATCTTTCTGCAGTCTGAGGAAAGAAAACAGGACTATGTAATGTGGGAATCGGAAGGCTCTTTAAAAAATGACTTTCAGTATTAACTTTCTCAATATAAACAATGCAAAACAGGCCATTCACACAGTCATTAACACACAAAAAATATTCCTCCTAAGTCTGAAATGTGCTGTGAAACACATGCTTTTACTGACAGAGCAGTGGCTGTAAACTGCCCCTAAGACATAAATACAGTGAGTAGATGATTAAAAAAGATTTATCTTAAAATTATTAAAGGAACAGTATGTAACTTTCTGGAGGTGAAACACCACCTGCATGACATGGAAATAGAAAGTCATAATCATAATTCAGAACATTCTGGGAGATAGATGTTTGACTTTATGCTCTACTGTGTAAAATTATTGTTGTGGTGAAGAAGGAGTCGAAAGGCAAAGCTCTCCATTTACAGTTCAATCTATGTTCCTATGTCTCTGTCCTGGTCTGGAAATGCCTCAGGATCTGTCTGGAAGAGCTAGAGGAAGTGTGTGTGGAGAGGGAAGTCTGAGAGTCCCTGCTCAGACTGCAGCCTCCGTGACTCGGCTCCAGAAGAAGATGGTTTCATGCATGGATGGAACAACATTTCCATGGAAACAAGCAGGAGGAGGTCCTCCAGGGAGAGGCACATGTTTTGCTAAGTTTTCAGTGCATTAAAAACTATCAAAATAACCAAAAAAAAAAAACATGCTTTCTAAAAGGCTACAGAAACAGGACTAAACCAGGATGTATATAATGTACCCACCAAGTTCCTCTGAGATGGTCTGGATGCACAGAGAGTAGTGGGTGATGAAGCCCCGCTGCTCCTCTGTGGGGATGGGCCTCCAGGACAGAGTGCCTGAGTTTTCAAGTGAAGTGGTGAAGGCCTGAGGAGGGCTCACAGGTACTGCTCAACAACACAGGGTCAGAGGTTTTGTTATTGTTTCTATCTTCATGGAGGCAAGCCATCAGGTCAAGTTACAGTTAGATCTATGGAGGAGTGAGATCACTCACTGTAAGAATGCATGTTTTTTTTTGTCTGTCTACATCTCCAAAGCTCAAAATGCTCTGTTTCCCCTTGTGATGTCATGAAGTGGTAGTTTTCAAGTTAACAGCTACCTTTTAACTTTTGTTCAGTAGATATTGGTAGTTCCAGTGTGACTGGAGTTTAAAACACAGAGGAGAACTTCTAGTATTACCAAGTGACAAAACAAGATGAGTGTTTTCTGTTTGAGAGCAGAACCCAGCCTAAATCTGCAGGAGATTGTGTGTTAAACATGTGTGAATGAATAAAAAAAAAACATGTGCGAGGAAACAACATTATAACATAGATCAGAAAATAACATAATGAGGCCACTTTAAAGCTACCCTCTGTAATCAGACTGGCCGACCTGTTGTATTCTCACATATCATCACTAGATGCTGTCTACATTACTACTGTCTGATAGTGTGCCAGCTGTGGTCTGACAGAAGAAGAGCAGACAGCACAGGTGAGTCTGAAAAAAGGCTGGGCGAGGGGAGGGGAACAGGTTTCACATCTGATATCTGATGAAAAAACTGAGTAAACATACAGATGGTAGCTTTAAGTAGTTGGTTGGTTTGTATTTGCACATACATCGGTATCAGTATTTGGTTTAACCCGGGCTATTTCTTTAATAAAATAAATGAAGATGCTGTATTGTATTACTTACTTCCTTGTTCCCTGTAGTAAATGCACTTTTTCGTTGTGTGTTGTGATTTTTTCTTGCACTGATGTTCAAAATAAAGATAGGGAAGATATTCTTTCAGTTCTGCAACAAAAACACAAAGAAAAGATTAAAGATTAAATTAACCCATATTACACTATATTCTGATCTGTGTTCTAATATTGTTTCCTCATCACAAACAGACCTGGAGTTGTGTTTTTCTTTCATTCACACATGTTTAACACACAAACCCTGCAGATTTAGGCCGAGTTCTTCTGTGAAACAGAAAACACTCTGTTCCACCTTGTGATGTCATGTGGAGAACACAGCAGAGTCCACGCCTTCGCAGCTTTGCACCCGCAGCATGGCGGGTGGGTCTGTTGAATCCAGCGCCCATGTGACTCCAGGATCTGGATGGCTGTTTGCCTACATTGGGTTAACTCCACCCCCTCTCCTCCCCAGTTGCAAGTCTAGTCGAAATGTTTGTATTGTGTTTTGACTATGTGCTGATGTCGTGGAGGTGTTTTTTATGCCCAGACAGGAGCATCGTCTGGGGGATGTTCTCTTTTTTTTTCTCCTCCCCCTATCCCAGGAGTAGGCTATTCTTTTTTCCATGGGGCCACATGAGAAACTGAAAATATTGTGGAGGGCCGGGTCAAAATGCTTAACTCAATTCTGCATAATATTAATTGTATTTCTTTATAAAAAGCAGTAAATATAATTGTTTAAACAAGCTGGTAAGACTGATAAGAGTTTATGTTCTGACTAAGCAATGAAAAAGTGAAGTTGCCTTACAAAAATGTCATTTAAAAAACACCTCTAAAATAAAAGCAATGCAGCTTTAGTCCATGCATGAGGTAAAATTATACAATATGTATATTTTGTAATTCCAAATGATCGTAAACGGGCCAATCAGAGTCAACCAAAGAGTCGTATGTGGTCTGGGAGCTGGACAATGCCCAGGTTTGCCCTATCCTCATGTTATGTTGCATTGTTTCTTCCTCTGCTATCTGTCGTCCAGTTCAGTCCATCCATGTGTAGTAACCCCATGTCATGTATTGTGTGTTTGTAATGTATGGATGGGGTGACAGGTCCCATTTTGATTCCTTTGTACAAAAGTGACAAATAAAAGGCATTCTCTCATTGGAAATGTAGACAAGCTAATAAACCAGGATTACTCAAACATGTGTGACTGAAACAAAACATAACTTGAGGTTTTTGAGGAAGTAACAACATTATAACATGGCTTAAAGCTCACAAGAGTCAGTTTTGTGTAATACAGGACATTAAAAAAATTATTAAATGAAATGTGACCCACCTTGTTCTATCTTTTTTCTGACATCAACCTTTGCATTAGCCTTTAATATTATCACTGTGTCTTCTTTCACTTTCCCATCTCGAAGTTCATACAATTCTCTGCAGCTCCGCTTTTTTTGTTCTTTAGTCAAGCTTGTATTCTTACTACACACTGTATAATGAAAAAAAAAAATTAAAGCCTGCTTGTCTCTTTAAAGATATTATTGCTTTTCCTGTAATGTTCCGCAGTATGGCATAAATATAAAAAAAAATGGCTGTTATTAAAGGTGCTCTATGTCACTTTTTGGTGAGGGTTTGCTTCATCTTATCTCAATGGAGAAGTTATTACTTAAAGTTCCACAGTGTGGCCTTAAACCTGTGTATTTTGCATTTTATGGCTCAAAAATAGCTTGAAAAATCTGTGTTCTTATTGTGAGCAGGATTGCCTCTCCACAGATCTGACCTGTAATTTGGTCTGGAAACATCACATGCTTATCTCCATGGATTTAATTCCATATGGCTGAATAGTTCAAGTAAAGCTGGAACATCTCCATGGAGAGAGGCAGTGTTGCTGCTTCTAAAAAGGTTACATAATAGTGTGCCTGTAATATACTCCTATACAATACTGTGAGACATCACAACACTCTGTAGATAAATATTATTTAATACTTGGGATGTAATAATAACCGAAATATCGTGATATTGTATCGTCAAAGTTCTCACAATAATATCATGGACCATCACAATATATCAAATTACAAGTTTCTTCGCTTAAATGAAGAGTTTTGGTGCAGCAAAAAAGACAGAGGGAACTACATGGACCATGATCCTTTGCTCCATCAGTGCAAACGACATGAAGAAATAACAGTTTTAAGGACTTTTAAGTCTTAGTTCTTTAGATTAAGTCTTGTCAGGGCATTTTAAGAGGAAAAAGTAGCATATTAACAATTTTGTTAGCCTCCACAAAATATCGCAAATATCGTGAAAATATGGTACAGAGAGATTTGGATTTGGATATTGGAATCCCTAATCGTGAGCCTCCCCACCATATCGTGAGCTTTCCCACGATATCGCAATAAATATCCTACCGTGAGGTTCATACTGTGACGATATTGTATCGTGAAACTTGGATATCGTTACACCCCTACTTAATACTGATGAGGGGCAGATAAAATGAATATTATTCAACTGCAGATTTCTGTGGTAATGCAGCATGGTCTTGGGTCTAGTCACTAATGAAAATTATCAGGTTCCATATTTGGGAATTTACTTTTCAGATATTTCATGGCAAAGTACAAGATGTTATCACAACATTCTATTGGCCAATATTAATGAATTGCCCCAATAAATCCTGTTCATTTTTGAGTTTGAGTTGTCTGTATCATTTGATCCACCAGTCATTATAACACATAATTATCTTGTAAAACAGTGAGTTCTTGAGTTGAGGTAGTTCATATTTCATTGTAAAGCTCAATGTTACCAATAAGGTCTGTCTCTTGCCCCCTGTCTGGGAGTATGGCATCGTTACATTGTAGAATCTGAAAAACGGCAATAGAATAGAATGGTTTAGTTACAAAAATAAGCCTTACCTGTTAAGTAGGGTGGGTTTTCCGGGGGCACGTGGAACAGGGCCGGGGGGGAGGAGCTGGCTGAGTTCCGGGCTCTGACTGACAGGTTCAGAGCAGAGAAGGAGACAGCTGTTCGGTAGTAGCTTTTGGGGGAGAAGTTTTCTTCATGCTTGTTACAGCTGCAGTCTTTCAAGTATTGAATCTCTACGAGGTAGTCCACATTCTCTCCGTTCACATTAACTGGCTGGAGAACACCACAGGTGATGTTTAAAGGCAAATTCAGGAACTTTTCTGCTGGATGGCCTGTCAAATGCTTGTCTCCATAGAGATGTTATTACTTTGTCTGGAAGGTTTCACAGTTTGGTATTAACCTTTCTATCTTGTATATAGTGAGTATGTGTAGTGAGTGTACAGTGAGTGTGTTGTGTGTATAGTGAGTGTACAGTGAGTGTGTTGTGTGTATAGTGAGTGTACAGTGAGTGTGTTGTGTGTATAGTGAGTGTACAGTGAGTGTGTTGTGTGTATAGTGAGTGTACAGTGAGTGTGTTGTGTGTATAGTGAGTGTACAGTGAGTGAGTGTACAGTGAGTGTGTTGTGTGTATAGTGTGTACAGTGAGTGTGTTGTGTATAGTGAGTGTACAGTGAGTGTTGTGTGTATAGTGAGTGTACAGTGAGCCTGTTGTGTGTATAGTGAGTGTACAGTGAGTGTGTTGTGTGTATAGTGAGTGTACAGTGAGTGTGTTGTGTGTATAGTGAGTGTACAGTGAGTGTGTTGTGTGTATAGTGAGTGTACATGAGTGTGTGTGAGTGTACAGTGTGTGTGTGTACAGTGAGTAGTGTGTGTGTAGTGAGTGTACAGTGAGTGTATGTGTAGTGAGTGTACAGTGAGTGTTGTGTGTATAGTGAGTGTACAGTGAGTGTGTTGTATGTATAGTGAGTGTACAGTGAGTGTGTTGTGTGTATAGTGAGTGTACAGTGAGTGTGTTGTGTGTATAGTGAGTGTACAGTGAGTGTGTTGTGTGTATAGTGAGTGTACAGTGAGTGTGTTGTGTATAGTGAGTGTACAGTGAGTGTGTGTATAGTGAGTGTACATGAGTGTGTGTGTAGTGTGTACAGTGAGTTGTTGTGTATAGTGAGTGTACAGTGAGTGTGTGTATAGTGAGTGTACAGTGAGTGTGTATAGTGAGTGTACAGTGAGTGTGTTGTGTGTATAGTGAGTGTACAGTGAGTGTGTTGTGTGTATAGTGAGTGTACAGTGAGTGTGTTGTATGTATAGTGAGTGTACAGTGAGTGTGTTGTATGTATAGTGAGTGTACAGTGAGTGTGTTGTATGTATAGTGAGTGTACAGTGAGTGTGTTGTATGTATAGTGAGTGTGCTGGTGTTATGTACTTTTGTGTGATTGTTGCTGTACTTTTCCCTGTCCTGTAGATGATTTCACATCAACCTGCCGAGGGACTGATGATGGAACTTAGCCACGCTGGCTATAATCTTTACATATTCACATTTTAAATGTTCATTCAATAAAATAAAGAAAAAAGAAAATAAGAAAGAAAAAAAGAAAGAAACATTTTAAAAATCTAAAAAAAACCCAAACCAGACCAAGTTAGAGTTCAGATCTGTGGAAAGGCAACTCCACTGTATGTTGTATGTGTGTTTTTCTAGGTATTTTTGAGCTGCAGTTTAATAAATGTAAGATAGAGCTGTTTAATGTCATACTGTGGAACATTCCAGGCAGAGAAACAAGCAGATGACAGACCCTGCTGACACTGCTGGATTGTGTGAAATTAGCTGTTTTTTCTGTATCCATGGAGGCCATGTGAGAGACTAAGGAGTTAAATAAGGAACTAGCTATGGACCTCCCATATGGAAAAGTTATAGACAAATCATACACCATTATAACATGTTTTATCTGAATCCTAAAAGATTTGTATATGACCATGAAAACAGTTACAAGATCTTTGGTAAATATGTGCAGCATGAAACATATAAAACTTTGTAACCTGCAAGAGCTGAATATGACACTAATCCCACATACAATATCCTCACAAGTGTTGGACAAAGGTCATTTTTACCACAGAATCATAGAAAAACAAGTGAAATGATGATTGTTTCCTTAAACTTGATTGCTGTGTTGTGTGTGTATGAGAGTGAGAAAGAAAATTATAACAGTGTGTGTCTGTCTGTCTGCCTGTGTGTGTGGGTGTGTGTGTGTCTGTGTGTGTGTGTGTGTGTGTCTGTGTGTGTGTTTGCGTGTGGGGGTGCGTGTTTGCATGTGCGTGTGTGTGTGTTGGGCAGCATGGGAGTAAACACAGTAATGTAAATATTGCATTACAACCTTAAAAAAACATATTCCACTGATCTCACAGTGAACATACATGCTGTAAAAGGATTATTACTCTGCAAAATCCTCATTATTACAAAGGTCTATATTGACTTGTAATATTCCAAAAAGCAGCTATATATATATATATATATATATGTTTTTTTCACATGCCTCAACTGACAAGAGGTCATATCAATTACAAGTACATATATATATATGCTAAATATATAAGCAGTTAGTCAGCTCAATTGGTAAGTTACTGGACTTTCACATAGTAGACCTGGTTTCAAATCTCCCTTCATACTCTGATTATTTTTTCTGCAACATATAATTAAAGAATACAAATATTACATGGAACATACAAAGAAAATGTAGTTTATCATTCACATTACCTGTAAATGTCCTGCAAAATGTTCCCTTTATCTTTACTAGTTTTTCATAATATAGTTGTATGAGAAAAATGCAAAAGGGGCCACTTTCAGGAGTAAACCACACATGACACATATTAACCTTATATAAACATTTACTACAAAGACAGTGGTAAATTCTTATTTTTTTTTCCACTTTTTTCCATATGGGCTTTGAGATGCTACAGGCTTTTTAGACCAAATGTGGCAGAAAACCTTCCAGAGGAAAAATTCTGAGACCTTCCAGAGTAAACAGGGAAAAACAACAAAGAAAAACAACACAGCAGAGAGAAAGTGAGGCTTAGAAGACTGTGGTGCTGCAGGACACAGACGAGGGACACTTTTGGCTCTTCCTCTCCTTCATTTCCCTGAAGCTAACTGACGGATCTTCTCTGTCACTCAGGTTGGACTTTAATCTGAGCTTGGGTTTAACACAAACTGACCATAAACAACTGTTTTAGCTGGAACTACAAAAGGTGAGCTGATGTGCTCTCTTAAACAAGCTCCTCACTTCTTTTTCTGTTAGTCACTCACCTGGTTTCTCCTGGACACTACTGTGATGCTGCCGGACACAAAAGAGGGAGACTTTTGGCTCTTCCTCTCCTCAACCTGCCCTGACACAGATCTGCTGACCCTGCCTGACCAGTCCTCCTGTGAAACTGACCTAAAACCTTCGACTGAGACACAAAGGCCACTGAGAAGCACAGTGTAAAAGTTGCTGCAGAAAAACTAGAATTTCCCTCAGGATAAATCAAGTATCTCTTTCTCTCAAGACACTTTGACAATGCGGGCTCATTAATATAGTTTTTACTGAATACATGAAATATTCTAATCTATATGTTTACTTTTCTTACCTTCCACTTGAGTGTGATGTTCCTTTGCGTCTTGGTTTCTGCTGTTATTTTATTCATCCGCGTCTTCAAGATACGGGTAAACTCTATTAATATAAAATAAAAAAAAAATGCAAACATAATATTATTTTAACCACAAATTATCTTTTCCACAACCACAGACGTTTAAAGGTTCCATATTACGGAAGAATCTATTTTTGTGAGCCATGTTCAAATGTCGTCACCTCATCAAAAACATACCTTGTGATGTCATTAAGTGGTAGTTTGTCAGTTAACAGTTACATTTTGCCTTTACTTCAGCAGAGACTGGTAATTCCAGAGCTGAAATAATTCTGTTTCTACTGAAGGTGTAGTGGAGCACTTCCTGTATTACCACATGGTCATCACAAAGTGGAATGGAGATTTTTTGTTTGTTTTTTGAGAAGGACTCAAAGTAAAAGTAAATATGCAGGGTTTGTGTGTTAACCCTGTATTTTGTTCCATTGTGAATGAAACAAAACACAACTCCAGGTCTGTTTCTGATGAGGAATCAAAATTATAACATAGATCAGAAAATAGCGTCATATGGGCCTTTTAAGTGTACATGTGTTTTTTAATTGTGTACCGATGGGGACAGTGAGGACATTGGCCCAGTTGCTCCAAAGGGAAGAACTGGCTATGGTAGATCGATGTCTCATTTGGAGCTGTTGCACTGAAGTCTTCTCCAGGTTGACCAGCATAAGGGTATCTGAGAGAAAACAAGGATATGAAAGTCTTTACTGGTTCCACAATGAGGAAATGCACTTAAAGGTACATTGTGTAACTTTTCTGGTGGAGGGTCTGTCAAATGCTTTTCTTCATGGAGATGTTATTACTTTGTTTGGAATTTTTCACAGTATGGTATTAAACCTTTCTATCTTCATGGAGACCAAACCAGACCAAATTACAGGTCAAATCTGTGGAGAGGTGAACCCACTCACAGTCAGAGTTCTTGTTTTCCTAGGTATTTTTGTGCTATAAAACCACCTGTCATTGAATAAACGTAAAGTAGAGCTGTTTAATGTCATACTGTGAAACATTTCAGGCAGAGCAGTTACATCTCCATAGAAACAAGCAGGTGATGGACCCCCAACCAAAAAGTTACGTATAGTGTACCTTTAACATACAGTTTCATATAGGACAATATTTAATCTTGCAAAGAAAATGTAATAAACTGGTACATACATTTTTTATTGGTAACAGTTGTTATTCCGGATATCTGTGGGACATACAGGCAGGTGAATAATGCACAAAACTGTTGTTCATATTTCATTTTTTCAAATAAAAATATTATATATTGTCAGTGGGGAATGGTCCTCACAAAGTCCTTCAAAATAGAAAGGAATTGTTTGTCTTATTATGGATTTAAGATGCAACATTTTGAGGTCATGCCAAAAATTAAATATTTAGTTTTAAACTGTTAACCACTTAGTCAGGCTCGTGCCACCTAGTGCCTCTGCTTAATTTCATTTCTCTCCAGTGACTAGGTCAGGAATCAGAATACACTAGACGGTTTGCAAGAAGTGCTAGTTCGGACACCAGCCGATCAGTGAAGAACCATACATTCTGTGTTGTCAACGACGCCTGAGGATTTAAAGCCGTAATAAAGAGAATGTTTGGTGAATTTTATCAAGGGGAAAGACATTATTGTCCTTCTTCCTACGGGATTTGGGAAAAGCTTAATATACCAGTTAGCCCCGTTAGCGGTGCATTACCTGCCTACTGTCGAGTGAATGAATTCTAATATAGACGGTTTCTACGAAGTGAAACTGACTGATGAATCAGGCTACTAACCACTATGCTAATGGTCCTAATTTTTCATCATTCTGAAGCCCATAACCTGACACAGCAAGAAGGATTCCTGTGACATTTGTGAGTCACAAACTCACGAGAATCCATCTTGGCTCCTGCTGGTGCGAAAGGGCCCAACAGGTGGAGGGCGACCAATCACAGAGCAGCATTAAGGTTTAGGTGGAACCAAAGGCGACAGCAACAGACATACTTCAGCTTATTTTAGCATCAATACAGACTATTTAGTTTGCATAAAACATGCAGAAGGTAAGTGCTTTGTGTATTTGTGGACAGGGAAGATGTCTGTGCTTTTTCCTCAACTGAATGTAACTAAAGTTTGATTATTTGGCTTGTTCTGTTGTTGTGACACTTTGACCAATTATAGTCAAATCACTTCGACCATCATATTAAACATTTTGTACCCTTCCATCAAAAGGGCAGATTTAGCTAATTTTGCAGTTATTACAGTTGTTATGAGACATTTGTTCCCTGTTTTTATTTTCTATAAATTTCTATAATAGTGCTTGCTTATGTTACATTGTTCCAGGTTTGTGAAGAGTTTGCGCGGTGCCGGATCTGGACTGCAGCCTCCTTCCTTTCAGGGGCTTCCCACTGCAGGGTCATGTTCTCCAGGGACCACTCCACCGAGATGTTGTGTGGCTCTGCATATTTAACTGTGGAGAAAATCAAACCAGGTCTGAAATAAAGATAACCTCTTAAAATCCTACACCTAACACCTACATACACCACCAGACTTCTGTCATTGTACAATGCATACTGGGAAAAGATTCTCTGAAAAAGTGAGCATCAAATTGCCATGTTTGATTTCCCAGTGGGATGCGTCTATTGTCAAAGCCGATCTTTTCAAGTCTTTCGAACCATATCTCTTTTGTTTCTGGTTCTGATATTGTCATATTTTAGTTATGGGGATCAGACATCGTAATTGTGTGGTTGTTGGATGTCCTAACAGTGAAAACAGCTCGAAAAATGGGCTTCAGAAGTTTGTGAACTCCATAACTGCAAAAGGGAATCAGATTTGTGTGACTGCAAACCTCCATTCAAACTGTTCCCTTCCCAACGGAATAGAAAAATAGTGAAAGGCAAAGGCGATGGGCAGGATTGATCCACAGGAAAGATGAAAAAGGTAACCTTTGGCTGCCTAAGAAATCATCCCAAGTTTACAGCAAACATTTTGTACGTGGAGCACCGACAAAGCAAAATCCCGATCCCTCACTCAACCTTGGTTACTAATTTATTTTGTTTCGCCAAGAAACAAAGCGACAAAGCAAAGCAACCGAGACATGATGCTGCTGTAAAGTCGAACAAAAAAGTACGAGCTCAGCCTGCTTGTCTTCTGTACCTCTCGCTTAACAAACAGGATTTTGCTTTGATGGTGCTCCCCATAGCACTGTGATTTGGAACTACAGCTCTCACTAGCATTTCACTTTTTCTGCCCAATCTGACTGTAAAAACGTGGAATAAGGGCCTGTTTACACGAGAACACTGGCGGGTAAAAACAACAAAATATTTTATCAGAAGTGCCTTTCGTTTTGATGGTAACGACGTTTTTGGGGCTTAAAAAACGCAAAAATCTGAAACCACCCTCCAGCGTAGCATTTCCATCTACACTGGCCAAGACTCTGGTCAGATCTGCTCACGTCGCGTACACGTTTATGTCACATACATGTCCCTGGCATGCATACCCAGTCGAATTACACACACTTTCCACTTTCACTTTCCACACACCGTATGCATGCAGATTTCCTCCCAAAAACACTTGTCTAAACGCAGAATAAAAAGTGAGGACACAACGCCACTTTTGTGTCTTCTGTTCAGACCATCATCATAAAAATGTAGCTAAATCTCACAAGATCATTTTCCACGTGTGCACAATCTTATGGTAATTTTGTCTCACGAGGTTTTGTGGCACGAGATCTTGTCCCATCCTTACAAACTAAGTCCATTTCTTTTTCTATTTTCACAAAAAACTGTTAAAAGATGGTATGTGAGAGTGAACAGACTCACTTATCTCTCTTAGTGTGACCCTGGTCTTGGGGGACGTGTAGCTGGGCGTGCAGTTGGAAGTCTCTACCCAAATGTCCACCGGAATATTCTGAAACACACACTCATCCCGAATCTCTGTCCAGTAGGGCTTTGTCTCTTTATAGCTCATACCACTGTGGATCAAAGAGAAGGTTTGAACACATGGATGACTTTTACAGTATTACTTTATTTTATTTTTACTTACATTACATACATAATGCATTTATATAATTAAGCTCTATTTGACACCTGTCTCTTGCTATTGCTGCTACCTCTTTAGAATTGATTATTACCATTTATATTTTTATCTTTGTTATTATATTATATTGAGGCAGGTCAAAATGCAGAATTGGACCTTCTTCCTATTAATTTATATTAGAGGAGGGCCCATGTAAGGTTTGTTGAATTTCTGGTGACGGGCCTGCTGTGATGTGTGAGCTACTGTATCCAAGTAATTTTCCTTGTGGATCAATGAAGTTTGTCTAAGTCTAAGTTTTTTCTGAGAGATAAAAGGTTTAAAAAAATGGTACAAGCTAAATCTTAAACAAATCAGCTCAGGGTCTAGATGGAGAGATGGATCCCTCTGCTCTGTTTACCTTAAAAGTGCACTATATAACTTTTCGGTAGGTGGTCGTCACCCACTTGTTTCTATGGATTTGTCATTGCTCTTATTACAATGTTCCACAGTATGACATTAAACAGATTTACCTTACATGTATTCAGTTACAGCAGGTTTTATAGCTCAAAAATACCCAGAAATCTGATCTGAGATCATGCGTCATCTGGTTTGGTCTCCATGAAGATAGAAAGGTTTAATACCATACTGTGGAACATTCCAGACAAAGCAATAACATCTCCATGGAGAAAAGCATTTAATGGACCCTCCACCAGAAGTTGCACCTTTAACATTTGACCTTTTTGAAATAATCCTGCTCAAGACTTCCAAGACTTATTTAAATTGACAATGTTCTATTTTTTTTTTTAAAGTAAAAAATAAATAAATAAATAAAAGAGCATATTTGAAGTAATAAGTCATAGATTTATTTAGATAGTCAGATGAATTTGTTCAAAAACTCACAAAAATACATTAGTGGCTTATGGTCTAAGTCAGGGGTCTCCTACCCCCGGGCTGGGGTCTGGTACCGGGCCGTGGGTTGTTTGGTACCAGGCCGCAAAAGTGCTCCCCCCCCCATACTCTGGGTGGACCGTCCGACACACAAGCACACACACGCCATGCACACCACCCCCCCTTCTGTACGCTGCACAGACCATCCCCCCTCCCGTAAGTCGTGCGGACCGTCCCCCATTTCGTAAGTGGTGCGGGCTGCACCACTAAACCAGAACGAAAGCAGGTCTAAAACAGGTCGAAAACAGGTCGAAAACCAGGATTAAAACAGATCTAAAACCAGGACTAAAACAGGTCTAAAACCAGGACTAAAACAGGTCTAAAACCAGGACTAAAACAGGATTTCGCCAGGACTTAACCATGCCACTGGATCGCCCACTGCGCCTCTTCCCATACGCAGTCCTCCCCACCCCCCAACTCCCTCCAGTCTGCGAAATATTATCTGGTGCAAAAAAGGTTGGGGACCACTTTTCTAAGTGAAGGCCAAGTGCTCAAGAAAACCAAAACAAACATGCTGACACTAAAGATGTATGTATGAACGTATGTATGTATTTTGCTTTTTAAAAATTTGCAGATCATCAACATTCCCTGGGGTGTGATGCTAACTGTAAGCACTTCTCTATCTGAAGCTTGTTACACTTTAATTAGCTTTATTTTAACACAACAGGACAAGAAAGAACTAAGTAGTAAGAATAAAGTATCAGTTGGTTTCAGGAACTGTCTTCCCAGATTGAAAATGTGCAGAACTCTATTTATGCTAGGTTAGAAAATATTCAGACTGACCAGGAAAATTCATTGCCGGCTGTCCCAAAGTGGACGTAGTGGATGCAGTCCTTGTAGGGGGAGCACCACTCACATTCGTACATGTTCTTATCACTGGTTCTGCGAAAGCACTGAGGAGCTGAGGGGCCATCACAATCTGAAACACCACAAAAAAACAACACACAACAACAAAAGCACAAAACAGAAACGGTGAGTGAAATGTAATTGCAATGGAGTTCAACAGTCCCGCCCACTTCGAAGTCCGCTCTGGTTTCTGATGTACAGTTTGCAATAATTTTAAAAAATGTCAAATATTAAAGAGTTTAAAGGCATTGTAGAGTCTATGTAGCTATGTGCTAAATAATATTTAACTAGATGTACTGTCTTCACAAGTAAACCACGACTATTAACTAAACACATGCTTTTCTTTAACATTACCTTTTATCTTGATATGATGTATTTTATTTAGTACAAGCATAAACGATAAACTTCTGTGCCTTTGTTAACATTATTATTAGTTTTTATGACCATAATGCAGTTCCACTTTCACTTTCTTTGGCTAGGATGTGTACCAGAGTCCTGCACGGGTCCACTTTTGGAGACCCGCCCCTGCCCGCACCCGCCCACACCCATGCAGTACAGCACCGCACCCGCCCTTTAACCCGTGATTATATCAAAGTTAAATCCGCACCCACCCGGACTCGGTAACATTCCACCTGTTACCCGCCCGTGCCCGTGATAATTCAGGGTCAGACCATTAGTCCAACAGCCCAATAGTCCAGGACTAAACCAGGACTGAACCTACGCCATATCCTTAGCGAATTATAAATATATACACGCCACAAACTGCTGAGCTGATTGCCAGGACTACACCAGGACAGGACCAGGACTAAACCAGAACTGAACCAGGATTGAACCAGAATTAAACCAGGTCTAAACTAGGACTAAACCAGGACTGAAGCAGTGTCATTAGCATAAATATATACACACAGCCGGTGAGTATATCGGCACCGCTGATAGTTTTATGTAATAAATACTCTAAAGCTCTAAATACTAAAGCTAAATACTCTCAGCCTGGTCCATCATTCTGTTCATTGTTGATTCACCTGCCCACCGCATACCCACCCGTAAAATTTCAGAACGTTGAACTCTTCCCGTTTCAGCAACTATTTGTGGGTACCCGAACCGATGCAGGACTCTGATCTGTACCTCATGATCTTCAAAGGAGTGAGTGGTTAGTGGCTTTGAGATGTACAGCAGACTGGCGTCTATGTTGGTGCATGCTTTTAAGGAGTAGCTGTGTTTTCCTCCAGTGTAACTCTCGCTGCATTGGAGAAACAATATTGATACTTTGCAGCTGGATATGATGCTAACTGTAGGCACTACTCTGTTTGAGGCTTTGTTAGACTTTAATCTGAGCTTTACTTTAACACAATCTGAAATGAAAAACTGATTTAGCTGGAACTAAAACATGTGAAATAATTTGTGCTATTAAACAAGTCCCCTTCAAATAACATTACAGTCACTAGCTCACTTTCAGCTTTGTGTTGAACTTGAACTAAACTGAACCATGAATGCTAGTACCAATCACAGGGTGCTGAAAATGTGTAGCCTAAATCCATTTTGGATTTTGATCTTAAAACTTTTTTGTCTGTCTTTGCTAACGTGAGCAATGAGTGTGTATACATGCACATTAGTATCCCGGTTATGATCAGGTTTTTTGAATATCCAAGCATCCAGAAGACAAACACTTTTCACTCTTTTCATCATAGCGGTAGCAAACATAAATGAAGTGAGCAACATAAATAAAGTGACCAACATAAATAAAGTGACCAACATAAATAAAGTCACCAATATAAATAAAGTGACCAACATAAATAAAGTGACCAACATAAATAAAGTGACCAACATAAATAAAGTGACCATACATGAGTGAAATGACAGTTAAATAAAGAGCTGCACTAAACCAGCACTCGTATGACCTGTACAGATCTGAAAAGTTTAACATGAACCATCTCTAACCCAAGAGCCGGGGTTTCAAAATGGCTGCCCATTCAAGACAATGGGCCGAGCTCATGGATCTATTAAAATAACTGGATAGGGTATTGCTTGATTGTAGCTGCCTCGAGTTGACATAGTGGTCACTCACTGGAACTACAGCGGAAAAAATCCCAAGGGCCAAGACAAGATTTTTCTCATAGAGCACAATGTAATCACAAACTGCTCGTGTTCGGCTGACAGGGCACCTACAACTTTCAAAAATGTCTGATTTGTTGGTGATTTTTACCTTTTCTTAGATCATAAACTTTTTCTCAGCTCAAAATCCTTCAGTTTTCTTAAAAAAAAAAGCCACCGGAAGTACCTAGCTGGGCGTCGTGGGCGAGGCTAATCTGGGATCATGCGCCATTGAGCTCGGCCCATTGACTTGAATGGGCAGCCATTTTGAAACCCCGGGGTTTGGCCGAGCTCAATGGCTCATGACTCCAGATTATTTTAGCACGGAGCACGGTCTCGTGTCTCAGTCTCGGTCATGTGATTCCTTTGACCAATCGGAGTGAGAGGAGGTTTATATGTTGTAAAGTTGAGTTTATTTATGCAAAAGATTTTAATTAATTTAAATTTTGCTGCAGTGTAAAATGTTTAGAAATGTTTGGTTTGATGTGCAGTGGATTGTGGGATACCTCATAGCTCTAGTGCTGGTGAACCTCTCGAGCTTCCTATGCTATAGGAGCTCATGGGTGTTTGTATTTTTCTTGGTTTATTAAATATATAATTTTTGTGCGTCTGCATTTGTAAGATTATATCAAGAAACCGGGATACTCCATTTGATCATGTACACAGGGATATGAGTGTCCTGGTTTCTCAGTATCTTACAGTAGAGTATCTTACTGCCATAACCGGGATATGGCTAATAACCTTGTTACTGATGTGTACGTATATGTACTCAATATTGTATCACATGGAATCTGCTGAATTTTCCACCATAGATATACATGTAGAACACCCTCAGCATTTGACAGTTGAATTTTGTTTCATTGTTTAACACACAAACCCTGTATATTTAGGTGGAGTTCTTTTCTCAGACAGAAAACACTGTGCATAATACAGGAAGTGCTCCACAATGCTTCTCAACTTCCTGCACCTTCAGTGTGGATAATTTGGATGACTTCATCTCTACTGAACTAAAGGTCAAATTTTGCGGTTAACTTAAAAAAAACTACCACTATATGACATCATAAGGTGGATTTTGAGCTTTGGAGATGTAAACAGACTAATAACAAAGAGCTACTCAAACGTCTGAATGAAACAAAACACAACTCCAGGTTTGTTTTTGATGGTAATTGTGAGTATAACATGGCTTAAAGCGCACAAGAATCCATTTTGTGCAATATTGGACCTTTAAACTATATTATTAAAATACAAACTGACAATAATAATACTTTGTCCGTGTGTTTTCTATGAGTACAGAGGCTATGTGCAGATATCATCTTCTAGTGAGAACCACATTTATCTGATAAACAAAACCAACATGTAGTGGCTCATCTTACACTTTCTATAGATAACCGCTATAACAATTTGATATACATGTACAGTTCCTGACAAAAGTCTTGTCACTTATCCATTTTGTAGAAACAAAAGCTTATAACCTAACTTTAAATTAATCGATTGGTTTTAGAAATGTCTCATATGAAAGCTAAAACCCTCCCAAACTATGCTCAATAAACTAAAATAAATTTGCTTCACTGAAGAAAGATTGATCATTTAATGAACACAGAAAGGTCAGATTTTGACAAGACAAAAGTTTTGTCGCCTACAGAAAATTGAACAAATAATTTACTTCAAATACAAAAATATGTTGCATAACGTCAGTGAATGAAGTAGTGGTGCTGTGAGATCCATATTTAATATCTTGTATGACTTCCATGAGCTTGAAGGACTACATCCATGCGGTTTGACAATGAGTCATACAATTTGTTGATGAAGTCATCAGGAATAGCAAAGAAAGCGTCTTACATGCCTCCCAGAGTTCATCAAGATTCTTTGGTTTTGCCTCCCATGCTTCCTCTTTCATTCTACCCCAGACATGCTCAATGATGTTCATGTCTGGTGACTGGGCTGGCCAGTCCTGGAGCACCTTGATCTTCTTCACCTTGAGTAACTTTGATGTAGAGATAGAAGTATGCGATGGAGCACCATCCTGCTGCAAAATTTGACCCCTTTTATGGTTGGGAATGTAAGAGGAGCTAATACTTCTTGATATTTTAGGTTATTGATATTGTCTTCCACCCTGCAAATGTCTCGCACACCCCCATACTGGATGGAACCCCAGCCCATGATTTTTCTGCCACCAAACTTAACTGTTTTCTGGGTGAATCTTGGATCCATGTGGCTCCAGTAGGTCTCCTGCAATATTTGCAGCAGCTGTGATGTAATTCAACCGAGGATTCATCTGAGAAATCCACCTTCTGCCACTTTTCCAGTGTCCATCCTTTTAACAGGCTGTGGGCCTTGGCAAATGCCACACGGTTTTTTTAATTGCCTTTTGTTTAGTGCTGGTTTCTGTGCACTGATTCGACCATGGAGGCCATTTCGAGACAGAATTCTACAAACTGTTGTGGTTGACACAGGGACTTGAGGTGACCAGGCCTGGTGGAGTCTGCTGCAGTGGAAAAGGGGCTGGCCTTGGATTTTCTAATCAACAAACGGTCCTTCCGAGCAGTTGTCTTGCGGGGTCTGCCGGACCTGGGCTTGTCAAAAACATCTCCAGTCATTTCAGATCTTTTTCTTATTCTTTGTACTTGATGCTGAGACACATTGAAGGTGTCACCACCTCAGCAGTGGATCTGGTCTTCAGCCTCTTGATAATTAATGCTTTGGTCTCAGGGTGGATCTTGGGCATGTTGTCAGAGGTCAAGTTGCAGTTGATGTGAAGGTCTGGTGTGCTGGGTTCTTTTTATACACACCCACTAATTGATTGATCAGTAACTGATCACAGGTGAGGCTGTAATCTAGGATTGGGTGCATCATATGACAAGGCCACAAGACTTTTGTCTTGCCAAAATCTGACCTTTCTGTGTTCATTAAATGATCAATCTTTCTTCAGTGAAGCTAATTTATTTTAGTATATTGAACATAATTTGGGAGGCTTTCATATGAGACATTTCTAAAACCAATCGATTAATTTAAAGTCATATGTTATATTTAAACAGGTTTAAACCTGTTTAAATCAGCTGACTGGACACGTCACAGCAACATCACGTGACCACTCTGAGGAAGACGCTAGTGAGCAGTCGAAACTGTCAGGTATGAAATAACACTCTAGGTCTGAAAAAAAGAACCTAATAACATAGAATATTGGAAGAGCAAATGAATCTCATTGGACTAATTTAAAGTCAGGTTATAAGCTTTTGTTTCTACAAAATGGATAAGCGACAAGACTTTTGTCAGGGACTGTAAATATAAATGTGCTGCGTTCCACTCTTTTTGATACTCTGATTAGCCCTATTGTTTCCTTTGTTTTGGTTTGGGTCTGAGGGTGGAGTCATAAATAGCTGATACATTAAGTCTAAACTAGGGTTGTCAAAAATATCAAAAATCAGATATTAATCAATATTGAAAAACTAGTATTGCTGGGTTTCACATGACATCACAGCATATAGCTATATTCCTCCTATATATTATTTAATAAAGATGGGGAACAGCCAGAATTAATAGTTTTAAAATACTGATTGTGATCTACTCCCAGATGGCGGGCAAGGGCCAGTTTTCCCTGTTGATTACATTGTACTTTTTCATGACATATAGATCCATAGACATATCCAAAAGGTAAATTCACAAATATTTGACTTGATCATTTCTATTATTGACTAGACCCAAGAACTCAATGAAGTGCAATAAAATTATAGAATCTGAAAAGAGCACAGAGACTAGTACACTCCCATGGACCACTATGGAACCTACACTTAAAGTTTGACTGGGTAACTTTTCTGATGGAGGGTCCACTACCCGCTTGTCTCTATGCAGATTATTATTATTATATTATTACTTTGCCTGGAATGTTCCACAGTATGGCATAAAACCTATTGTATCTGTTTCCATGGAGACAAGCAGTTAATGCCAATTTAAGGGTCAGCTCTGTGACAAGGCAATCGGTCTGTCTGCAAAAGATCAGTTTTTTGAATAAATGCATGATTAATAAACTTAATGCTATACTGTGGAGCATTCCAGACAAAGCAATAACATCTGCATAGAGGCAAGCAGGTGGTGGACCCTCCATCCCAAAGTTACATAGTTTACCTTACCCTATAATTGAGGAAGTCAAAAAACATGATTTTATTAACAGTGAATTTGAATGAATGTACCATAGACAAGCTGCATACTGTGGAACATTCTTAGTAAAGTAATAACATCTCCATGGAGACAAAAAGGTGCACCCTTCACCTGAAAAGAAGCTACGCAGTGCACTTTTAACTCAAAGCAAAGATTCAGGAAGTCAAAAACCTTTTACATTTACCTTTACCAGCTGCAGTGAATAGCAGGAGCCCTATTATAAGTCCTTGCAGTGAGAGCAGGCGCGTCATTTGCTGCGTCTGTGGGTTCGGATCAGAGAAAATGAGAACAGAGCAGAGTCTAGGTCTATGTTTTACCTGGTTCATGTGAAAGTGCTTCTCAGAAATGTCTCCTGGTCTGCGCTGGAGTTTACGTGAGCAGCAGTGAAACCACAGAGGGGGTGGGGGAGCCGTCCACCTCACACACTCAAACAGAAAGTGTCACATGCATCACTGTCATGTAGTAAGTACTTTGATCACGTTTTAAAGGGAGAATCTTACCTAAAATCAACTTTGGAAATATTTTATAATAATTAAACTTAAAGCATGAACAAAGATTTAAAGGGCCCATATTATGTTATTTTCTGGTCTGTTTTAATGTTTCCTCATCACAAACAGACATGGAGTTGTGTTTTATTTCATTCACACAACACACAAATCCTGCATACTTAGGCTGTATTTTTCTCTCAAGTAGTAAACACTTCATTCCTCCTTGTGATGTCATTTAATACAGGAAGTACTCCATTGTGTTTTTAAACTCCACACACCTTCACTAGAATCCTTTGGATTTTTTCAGCTTTGGAATTGCCAATCTAAGGGTAAAAGGAGCTGTTAACTTGAAAACTACCACTTCATGACAACAGAGCAGTTTGAGGTTTGGAGATGTAGACAGACTTACAAAAAAGGATTACTCAATAATGTGTGAATGAAACAAAACACAACTCCGGGTATGTTTTTGAGGAGGTAACAGCATTAAAACATGGCTCAAAGCTCACAGGAGTCATTGTTGTGTAATCTATGACATTTAAATCATAATGAACCTGTTTATTGAAAATGATTCACACTTATTATGTCATACTCCACGGTGGGGGCAACAGACAGATTTTCCCATTGACCACGTTGTACTTTTATGAAAAATATTCAAAAGGTAAATTCAGAAATGTTGAACCTGATCATTTCTATTACTCACTGTACAGTATTACAACAGAAACCTGCCTTTTCACAATATTAATTTTAGCTGCTACTATCTGTTTTAGATAATATTGACTCATTGAATGTTATGGTGCCATCTGAAACTCAACAATGCCTAACTTAAAGGGTCGATATTACACAATGTTCTGCTTTATTTTCTAAAGTTGTTTCCTCATCACAAACAGACTTGGAGTTGTGTTTGATTTCATTCACATGTTTAACACTTGTGATGTCATATGGTAATACAGGAAGTGCTCCACTGTGTTTTTAAACTCCATACACCTTCACTAGAATCATTTGGATAATCAGCTCTGGATTTGCCCATCTCTACTGAACAAAAGGTAAAAGGAGCTGTTAACTTGAAAACGACCCGTAACACTGCAGCGGAGCATTTCCTGTATAACCACATGACATCACTAAGTAGAGTAAAGTGTTTTCTGTTTGAGAGAATTAAACAGAAGCATCTAAATATGCAGTGTTAAACATGTGTGAATAAAACAAAACACAAATCTAGGTATGTTTTTATGAGCAAACAATATTATAGCAGATCAGAAAATTATGTAACATGGGCCCTTTATCAACATCAACGAAAAGGTGTGTCTAAATTTATATTTCAAAAGCCTGTAAACGAAGCTACACAAAAATAGAAACTTAAATAAAATCATCTCCAGAATTGTATAAATCTGAATTTTAAAAAAAATCAAGATGACACGTTTCAGTATTAGTCATACTGCACAAAACATCAAAAAATACATTGTGTTTTTAAATGTTTTGAAATTCAGTGTCTTCAGACAGGAAGCGTTGCAGACCATATGCCCCAGATACTCTATACCAAATGGCACAAGTTCACACAACACATCTGTCACACAATAGCTCACAACAGAATCAAAAGCAGAAAAGAAAAAGTACATTTACAAAACATTAACCCGTAATCAACACTAGCAGCTGCATTGTGTATTTATATGTATGATAATGGTGTAACGTAACAAGTACTGTACTTAAAGGTCCTGTATTACACAAAATTGACTCTTGTGAGCTTTGAGTCACGGTAAAATGTTGTTTACTCATCAAAAACATACTTGGAGTTGTGTTTTTGTTTCATTCACACATGTTTGAGTAATTCTTTATTATTAGTCTGTCTGCATCTCCAAAACTCAGAATGCTCTGTTCCACCTTGTGATGTCATGAAGCGGAAGTTTTCAAGTTAATATCCTTTTAGTTGAGATCGGCAATTCCAGGACTGAAATTATCCAAAAACACAAAACACAGTGGAGCAGTGTATTACCACATGACATCACAATGTGGACCAGAGTGTTAGAGAGAAGAACAGTCTAAATATACAGGATTTGTGTGTTAAACATGTGTGATTAAACAAAACTCCAGGTTTGATTGTGATGAAGAAACAACATTACAGAGATCAGAAAATACAATATTGTGGGCCCTCTAACTATAAATTTGAGGTGTCTGTTCTTTACTTAAGCACCTTTTAAAGTGGATATTTTTTACGTTTAATTCACTACATTTGAGAGCAGGTATCTGTACTTTCTACTCCACTGCACTTATTAACTGGACTGAAAAGCATTTATTCTTGTCTGAGACCTGCTGAAAAGGCTGAGGGTTTATTTGAACACATTTGTTGTTTGAGCAAAATATATAAATAAAAACAGCTAGGAAAAAATATGTTTATCAAAATCCTTATCAAAATTATTTCATCTGAAGCTTTATAAGACTTCAGAATCTGCATATACTTTTACTTTTTACTCTTTAAAGGTTCATTCACTACCAAGGACCAGGCCACAACAATGGAACATGCTAAAGATGTTTATTGATGATAGATGAATGTGATGGCTGGATGCAGAATCAGGATGGGGGCTCTGTCTCAGGTGGTCAGCCCAGCCCATTTAGGACCCTCCCTCCTTTTTAGATGATGTCTTCAGGCTGAAGGATGAACAAGAGATCTGAGGTTAGGAGGGGGTCAAAACTGACAGTGTTGTTGGGATAGGCCTGCATACATAAGGCTTCTGGGTAAGATTAGATAATACTTTATTGTCTCCCCTGGGAGAAATTTGTCTTGGGACAGTGGATCACAGCTTTATCAAAAAGACAGGACAACACAACAACAAGAGCACCACACAAACATCCACCATAGAACATAAATAAATAAGAGACCTAATTTGACCACGAGTGACACACCAACAGAACCTTTAAGTCACTCTTTACAGGCAAATCCTTTGCAATCTTGTATCCTATTAATAATCATACACTCCCTAAATCTATGTGTAGTTTTGATTGCACATTCCCCTGACCTATGTGCAGCTTTGGTTGCACATTCCCTTGACATATGTGCAGTTTTGATTGCACATTCTTAAGCCTATGTGCTGTTTTGATTGCATATTCCCTTGACCTGTGTGCAGTTTTGATTGCACATTCACTTAAACTAGTATGTGCAGTTTTGATTGCGCATTCCCCTGCCCTATTGGCAGTTTTGATTGCATGTTCCCTTGACCTATGTGCAGTTTTAATTGCACAGTCTTACGTCTATGTGCAATTTCGATTACACATTTCCCTGACCTATGTGCAGTTTGGATTGCACATTCTTAAGCCTATGTGCAGTTTTGATTGCACATTCCCTAAGCCTTTTACTTTTATTTTTTAACTGCACTACCTGCATTTAGCAGATTCAAGGCACAAAAGAATGTTGTCTCTTCAGTTTACAGTTTAGGACCCTGAATGAAACTGACTGTGAAGAACATGGGCTGGGTCAGATTCCACCTTCCTGCCTTCCCAGGGTAACTGAAGGTGTGGTTGGCTTGAGAGGATCAGGTGGCAGGACCAAGGTGGAGGCTTGGTCCTGCCACCTGAAGGCTTAGTCCAAGGTGGAGGCTTGGTCCTGCCCCTGAATCTCAGTCAATCCTATTAACTCCACTTGTGTGACTTGTGTGGAGGCTCTGTCAAACACTTGTCTCCAAGGAGATGTTATTGCTTTGTCTGGAATGTTTCATAGTTTGACATTAAACCTTTCTACCTTCATGGAGACCAAACCTCACAGTCAGAATGTCACACTGTGGAACTTATCAAGCAAAGCAAATATTTTAACCACAAACTTTTCACCCTGCACCCACTCCAGTGCTTTTTTCTTCAGACCACATTCTTTTATGTCCTGGGATTTTCTGTAAACATGTTAATTGAAATTACTCAAATAATTATTGCTTTCCATGACTATATTTAAACGAACCATATTTTCAAACTTTGATCTTAAACTCCATAAATATGACCTATCTGTGTGACATTTTTAAATCAAAACTTTTACTGATAGCAATTGTAATCCTGATTTATTCTTAAACTGAGTTCTTTCTTTCTTTCTTTTTTCTATTCCACCTTTTGATGTGATGTGATAATACAGGAAGTGCTCCACTGTATTTTTATACCCCTTCATTTAAATCATCTGGAATTTCCCATCTCTACTGAACTAAAGGTAAATGGGAGTTGTTAACTTAAAAAATACTGCTTAATGACATCACAAGGTGGAGCGGAGCATTTTAAGCTTTGGAGATGTAAACAAATTAACTATAAATGATTACTCAAACATGTGGGAATGAAACAAATCACAACTCTGTGTATGTTTTTGAGGAGGTCACGACATTTTAATATGATTAAAAGCTCACAGAAGAATCGATTTTGTGTGAAAGTGAAACTGTAATGCGCCCTATCACCACCAGAGGCCACTACAGCACTGTTACTCTGTGTACTTGACACTTAAACTGTAAGTGAAAGCAGTGGCCTCAGTGTTTGTGGTGCAGTAATCAAGAGTGGATCACTTCTCTAATGTGATTCCCTACCCGAACAAGGCTCAGTTTCACTACCTACTCTATTGCTTCTTTTGATACATCACCATCATCTAGAATCAGAAAACTGTATAGACTCACTGTGTAAAGACAACTTCCTAAACATATTTAATTTGTATGCATTACATGGTGTGTGAGTGGTTATTATGCTATTTTCTGATATATGTTATAATGCTGTTTTCTCATGAGCAACATACTAAGCTGTGTTTAGTTTCATTCACACATCTTTAACACACAAACCCTGCAGATTTAGGCTGAGTTCTTTCCTCAAACAGAAAACAC